ATAAGGGTAAACCATTTGATTGGCTGATTCGATCCACAAAACTAATTCTCATCCTGGTAAAACGATGATTAACATATATTTTTAACCTATAATATACAATCAAACAGACCTAGAAAAATCCATGCAATTGCACGAGTTCTCTATCTATTTATATCTTTATTTATGTTTACATCGGGTTAACTTGATGACCGTCGGCAGTCTTAGGAGGTCACATCGATGGTTAATTATATGACGTCTAGACTAAAACACACACGAAATGCTGATACATATTATCAAACCCGTGCATTGTAAATTGTTTATTTTAGCCTTAATATAATTTGGATATACGTTTTAGTATGTTATAAATCAAACATGAATCTTTGAGTCAAATCGGTGAGCATGAATTTGACAGCTAATTCCCCTTTAACATTTTGTTCCGTGGAGGGTTGAAGACTATGGTGCCCTCTCGATATCGTTTGGTTAGTTTTGTAGTTGGGTTACTGTATCACATACCCCCTCCCCCATTTCCAGTTATTAATCATAGACATAATATGGTTCATATAAAACAACAGGTGTATAGTTTGCTAGAAAAAATGTAAAACAAGATTATTTTTTACTACGTTTTGCAACTCTTAGTAGACGTCTTTAATCATTTGACTAATGACGCCGCTCACGATACCCCCGGCAGAGTCCACCATGGAAATATAGAGAAAAAAGTCTAGGTGAAACAGAAGCAACGCTCTTTTTTTGTAATTCATTTTATCGAATGTCAGTTAAAAAGAGCAGTGGCTATATAAATGATATCTTAGGAACACACCAATAGTAAAAATTTTAAATGTACGGTTTACCGATTACGCCCACCAAATTTGGTTAAAAGGGCTTTTTTTTCTTCTTAGTCAATTGGTAAATTGTGCAACATCGTTTTTTCACAAGGGCCTTCAAACAAACTATCAATATTAATGTGAAACAAATATGTATTAATTTGGATCTAAACCATGACATAGTTGATCAAAACCAATTCCTAGACACTTAACTGAACCATGTCAATCACTTAACCAAACCATACCAATTTCGATACTTTGGTTTTCCTGTGTTAATTTCTTATAAACAATAATTTCAGTTTAGATCGTTTGACTTACAACATAGATTCAAACTTGTTATTTGCATTTTATTTGCTCATTTGAAAAGAACTGAGTCAATTGTTCTGGAAAGTAACCTAACTAATCCACGACCAACTTAACCTAACTACTGTACTAAAATCACTGTACTAAACGCTCCTCGATATGTAATAAACCCGTGGTTTTAAATGAATGTGTTATTGTCATGTCAAATGTTTATGCCATTCGCCCTTAATTGATATAAAAAAATCTTAATTCTTCATCTGTTCGTTCTTTATTGTTATTTTTGCAGTCTCGTGTATCCAATTATAATTTGATATTTGAATGCATTTCGTACTTCAGTCTTACTGTTTTGAGCATAAACGCCGTTTTATCTATTCTACCCTATTTCGCGGCAATACTATTGTCGCCATTTTCTAATGTTGCTGTTTTGTTCATATACGAACAGATCCAAGTTTCACATTTATATGCTGATTTTCCACTCGCGAAAAATAAATCGCTCTAGAAAATAAGTCGTTAGCAGTAAATTTATAATCTTTACAGAATGCGCATTAATAAAGAAATCACGAGGATGATATTTCAATAGTAATTTTCTTTAAAAATGGTTTCATTTGGAATTTTGAAAAATAGGACCCAACAAATTACATAGTAATATATAATATGTAGATGCAGTATGATTTTCAATGAGACAACTATCCACCGAGTCAAATGACGTACATGTTAGCAACCGTATAAGGTCGCCGTGCATAAATATAATTGATAAAAATTGACATTATATCGACCTAATTCTACTTCTAAATAGTGATCTTTCATATATTTAAATTCGGAACTTTGTAAGTAATTGACAACTTATTAAGTTCTTCGAAAATCTGGGGTACCTCTTTCAACTTAATTTCATTTAAGATTTATTAAAAAAAAATTTAAACTGTCGTCCATGTAAATAAATTTGATTTCATGACTTTCTTTTGACGTCACATCAGGTCAAAACTGTGGCTTTGTTTTGCGTCCGCTTGCTGATGGGATCAGTTTGCTGTTAGACGTTTCGTTAGGAGGTATTACGAGCCCAGTAGTCAACACTCCTGCACTGACATTAAATATCATTCATGCAGTCATGTTCTCACGGTACATTTACCGTTAATAAAATGTTTTTCTCTGCTCCAATGCACAACTTGAAGGAATATTTGGTTTTCGTTGCTCTTCAGATTCATATTTTTTAGACTTCTTCCAAATGATTAGATGCGGACACCAACGACGAGTCACAAAAGTACTTCAATTTTGTTTTAGATATTCTCGAAATGAGAATTTTGAGGGGGATTTGACTGTGCACCTTAGTCTTATGTTTGTCCTAAACCGTTTTGATTGTATGTGTTTAATGTATTCTAAACTTTTAAGAGATTGACATATTGTATAGACAGCTGTCTTTTATTGAATACTGTATGGATTGGTGCCCTCTCGATATCGTTTGGTTAGTTGTTGTTGGTTACTGTATCATTGGTGTATAACTCCAACATCGACAAATTGTGTCAAATATTTAGGAGTTCGGCACATTGATATTTTTTTTAAATTGCGAACAAATAGTTTCCAATATCATAAAAAAGTAAATGCAAGATTAAGATTTTTATATAGAAATGCCAAATGTTTGGATACTAGATCAAGGATGACTCTCACATCTGCTCTGATACATCTTCGCTGGCCAAGGGTTACGATCCACTTCCCTCCTCTCCACCCTTGGCAGATTGAGATAGAATTTCGGAGACACAAGGTAATGATTTTCATTGGTTGCAGTCGAAACTCGCTGCATCCAATCAAAAAGCGCCTATAGCATGATCACGTGTAAATGTAGAAAGTGTATGTAAACAACTGCCACGTGCTTATTGTGCAACAAGTCTTTACATCCCTAAACATACGACTATATTTAGTGACAATTTGAATGCTTTAATCAACTAATAGAAGTTTCTGTGTATGTTTCTTGCACAAATGCATGAATGTCAACGTATATTTCCGATTCCTGCTTTACCAAGTGTGTAGAATCAAGACCCTACCGTGTTTTTACCTCCAAATTGAAGAGTTCAAGTGCTACCATTGGTCAAGAATAATGTATTCGGAATGGGCGTGACTTTAATCTACCGATAGATGGCGCAACATTGTTATTACAAATGTTGGCTTAATCTGCCAAGGGTGGAGAGGAGGGAAGTGGATCGTAACCCTTGGCTAGCGAAGATGGCTCTGATACAATGCTATTTCGATTAGTAATTCTTGCACTTCGTGGTATAGTAGTCTGGGCAAAGGGATAACAAAAAAATTGCAAGTTGTACAGAATAAGGTGGTGAGATTCATCCTAGGTCTGGGCCCAAGGACTAGAATTACATGTGATATTTTAGATAAAGTTAATATGCTATGTGTAAACGATAGAGTTAGTCAACTTGGATTAAACCATGAGTATTCAATATATATCATGGATATGCTCCAGAGTATTTATGAGAACATTTTGATTTAAATAATCATAATACCAGAAGTGCTGCACATAATAATTATTTTGTACCAAATGTTAAAAACTATAATAAAAACAGTTTTGTCTATAACGCGCTATACAAGACTGGAACAATCTACCAGTCAACATATAAAATATATTAAATAGATCTGCTTTTAAGACTGCAGTTAAAGAACAATTAAAAATAACAGCAAGAAATATAGAAACTGGAGATTTTTTATATGTTTTTTTAAGAAACAATTGATCTTTCTTTTTTTGGTGAAAGTTAAATTTTAACATATAATTTGAAATATTATTTTTATATATTTTCAAACAAGGGACCCCATGGAAATGAGCTATACTATGTAAGCTTTTATGGGATATCCCAGGCTTCTTTCTAAGCACTGTTTTTAAAATATATTATGATACTATTTTAAGAGTATATATATATATATATAAATATTATTTGTTTTGTTTTGTCTTGTGAATTTTTATATGTGTGCTTGAATTTGCCTGAATAAAACTATACTATACTATCTCTTTTTATTCATCATAGATAACGTCACAGTACCCAAATTGCACCTATTCAACAAAAATGGCTGTGGAAATCTTGCAATTTTTTTTGAGACTATTAAACAATTTGTATTTTTATGATTTGACATTATACGTTTTTCAACATAGGTAAATATATTCAAATATACACAAAACGTTCACATTATATATCAACAGATGAGGTATTCACTGGAAAAATAAAATTTACGGAAACGTCGCTATGTGACGTTCACAAAAATTCATCTTTTAAAAATTAGCAAATAAAATATGTTTCAAGCATCCATTTCTTAAAAAGTGAATACTAAGCATGGACTAATGTCAAATTGTTCTAAATATTTGAAGAGATAAAACAAAACATCTGTTATTCGATTTTTAAGGATGTGAATTTAAGCATGGATGCAATTTGGGTATTCCTAATTACAGAACCATTGATCGTTTGAAGGTCGGTTCAAATTCATTTTTCTATGATTTAATATGGATTCAAAATTAAATTGGTGTAACCATATAGTAAATAAGGTTAGGTCTACAAAATAAACACAGAATGGAAACTTTTGTCTGGATCATAAAAAAACGTAGGTGAAAAAACTGTCAAAATAGGTGCAATTTGGGTACCCTCACGTTATACATAATAATCTGGTTCAATATAAAAACATCAGATGTGTAATATGCTATGATCATAGATGTATAAACCCAACTGCAGATTTTTTGGGTTTATACATCTATGCTATGATAGAACACAATTTAAAAAAAAAAAAATTGGTATTTGGTATCTATTCTGGAAAACATATTGGCACTATTTTATTCCGGCAGCGAATTCCTTGCACAGTCCGTCATTGACCATATAGTTGTGTATCAAACTTAATTTCCGGTTTTAAATTGAAACCACAAAAATCAAAAATCGCAAAGAGTGAGTTCAAAGTGGAAAGAACTTAATTTTTGCACATGAAATGATAATATTTTTACAGATTTTATGGGTTTTTGGTAAAGATTTTGTCTCGAGTATCTTCTACAGGAAAACTAACAACAAAAGCGTTCAGTTCGACGGCATAACTCAAGAGAAACTTGACCGTTTCTTGGATTTAGCAAAATTAGGTATATTCAAAATCTTAAGTACTACTTTACCCTGTTTCTTTGTTCCTCTGTCCCTTTAAAGCGTTCCAGTGTACTGTGCACAATATGATTAGAGATTTTTTTTAATTTTTAAATCTGTGCTAGCATAATCATGAATCGACATGATACATTTTCATTGTAATACTTAAGAGTTCATCATATAAACCTTATGGCAAATATGGCCTTCTTAAACACCAAAAATTTCACTCTCAGGACAGAAAAATTGTGACCTAGTAAAGTTTTAAAGCATGGCCGGGCCTAGATAATTTAAATTTAAATGCATTCATGGCATTTTTATTTCAGAATACATAAAACTTAACTGGATTAAGGTTAGTCCTAGGGCTCTTTTTACAAAAATCTTACAACAAAAATTAATTGTAATTTATACCATAATGTTCATGACTTACAAGTTTTTTTTTCTCGTAAGAATTTTTGTGAAATGAGTCGCAGATAATCATGCTGTCTGCTGAATGTATTTTTAAATTTTAATTTGATCCCTTGTTGATGCAGGAAGGCATCAAAGCAAAAATTTTAAAAACCTTTGAAGACATCATTATTATTTGGCCTAGACTAAGCTGTGAATTTTTTGTCGTTCAGCAGAAGGTGTCAAAATAAACTATGTTGGGAAAAATGTTTCAGAAGCTTCCTTCATATAATAAATGTAGTGAACTAAATTGATTGACATTAACAATAGAGGGACAATAGATAACTGCAGAACAATAGGTGGTTGAAACTGAGTGGCCATATCAAGTGAAACTCAAGTGTTTGTTTATTTTGCCATCTTCCAGTGGCGTAGCTGCATTGTAGCATTGTAAGCACGTGCTTACAAATAATTTAAGCAATTTGTTTTTTCAATAAGAATTTTGCTATTATCGGTTACCCTTGTCCGTCTGTACGTCCCTAAATTGGTTTCCGTTCTCTAACTTTAGTTTGCCTCAACCAAATGTTATGAAACTTATACACAATGCTTATTACCACAGATCAAATTTAAATGTTGGTGGTGTTACTTATACTGCTCTAGAGTTATGCCCCTTTACAAATGGAAAAATTGCTGAATTTTTCGTTTCCGTTCTCAAACTTTAGTTTGCCTCAATCAAATGTTCAATTTATACACAATGCTTATTACCACAAAACACAGATCAAGTTTGAATGTTGGTGGCGTCACTTTTACTGTTCTTGAGTTATGTCCCTTTATAATGTTATATGTAAGTGGGGGCATCATCTGTGTCCCATGGACAAATTCCCCATCTATTTTTCCTCCTACAGAAATTTGTGGTAAGATCTTGGCTTGATAAATATCAGTGGCTGAAGTATTCAGAGTCGGAAAATGGGGTGTATTGTTTAAAATGTGTTTTATTCACTAGTACTGAGCATGCTTTTGTTAGGGATCCTGTAAAAGACAGGGCAAATTTGGGTACTTTGATAAAACTCCATTTGAGACAACCTGGACAAAGCAGGTGTCTTGAAATTAGTGAAAATTCTGTGTCAGTCGCTACAGGCAAAAAGGAAGATGTGTCAATGTTGAGTAGCTCATTTCAAAATAAAATCTCACGAAACATGAACATTTTGAAAAGTATACTTAATACTATTTATCTTAGTGTGGAAACAGAACATCCCCTTGCATGGTCATAACGAGGAAAAAAGTAATTTTAAAGCTCTCATCTAGGTCATTAACACTTTTTTTTCAGATGGAAATAGGAAAATTCAACTTCTATTGTCTTACTAAAAGCAGTTTGATATAAAATTGCAGGAAAAGCAATACAAGTTTTAAAACAAAATATGAAAGTCTACTACAGATGTGTTCCAAAGGATGACAAATAAATAGTATGACACTCTGATAAGCTTCTGCCCCCTGTAAGTGGTTGGTCTAACTATTTTTATTGCCGAATATACCTAAATATAAAATTTTCTTATTTTTAGCTCACCTGGCCCAAAGGGCCAAGTGAGCTTTTCTCATCACTTGGCGTCCGTCGTCCTTCGTCGTTAACTTTTACAAAAATCTTCTCCTCTGAAACTACTGGGCCAAATTGACCAACCTTGGCCACAATCATTATTGGGGTATCTAGTTTAAAAAATGTGTCCGGTGACCCGGCCAACCAACCAAGATGGACGCCATGGCTAAAAATAGAACATAGGGGTAAATGTAGATTTTGGCTTATATCTCTGAAACCAAAGCATTTAGAGCAAATCTGACATAGGGTAAAACTGATTATCAGGTCAAGATCTATCTGCCCTGAAACTTCCCAAAGGGCCAAGTGAGCTTTACTCATCACTTGGCGTCCGTCGTCCTGCGTCCATCGTCCTGCGTCCGTCGTCCGTAAACTTTTACAGAAAAATTCTCCTCTGAAACTACTGTGCCAAATTTGACCAAACTTGGCCACAATCATCATTGGGATATCTAGTTTAAAAAATGTGTCCGGTGACCCGGCCAACCAACCAAGATGGCCGCCATGGCTAAAAATAGAACATAGGGGTAAAATGTAGATTTTGGCTTTTATCTCTGAAACCAAAGCATTTAGAGCAAATTTGCCATGGGGTAAAATTGTTTATCAGGTCAAGATCTATCTGCCCCGAATTTTCAGATGAATCTGACATCCCCTTGTTGGGTTGCTGCCCCTGAATTGGTAATTTTAAGGAAATTTTGCCGTTTTTGGTTATTATCTTGGATATTATTATAGATAGAGATAAACTGTAAACAGCAATAATGTACAGCAAAACAAATAAGTCAACATGACCAAAATTGTCAATTGACCCCTTAAGGAGTTATTGCCCTTTATAGTCAATTTTTTACAATTTTCATAAATTTTGTAAATTTTTGTAAATTTTTACAAAATATTTTCCACTGTAACTACTGGGCCAAGTTCATTATAGATAGAGATAATTGTAAGCAGCAAGAATGTTCAGTAAAGTAAGATCTATAAACACATCACCATCACCAAAACACAATTTTGTCATGAATCCATCTGTGTCCTTTGTTTAATATGCACATAGACCAAGGTGAGCGACACAGGCTCTTTAGAGCCTCTAGTTTATAAATTTAACTGACATTCTGATTTTAAAAGGAAATATTTCTGGAAAATAAAAATAAAATAGTCACCAGGTATGATCAGTGAACCAAAATAGAGCAGTATTAAAAGGGCTATTGTTAGAAAAACAAATGTTCAATTTCTGAAAAAAAATCATCTTAATTGGTAAATAACATCAAGTTTTTCTTGATTCACTTTAAAACAGCTTCACCAAAACAAATTATCTTTATTTAATTAATATAAAATCATAATTTAACTAAGTAACTAAAACAACAATTAATTTAGAATTATTGAGCTATTCTTACCTTAAATAAAATGTTTGAACTTATTTGAACAATTTATTTCTTATAATTGAAAAGTGAAGACAGTAAGGAGGTAAGATAATTATATAATATACAATGTCAATCCAGAAAAAAAAAAGTTGCTAAATGCAGAAACCTTTTTGTTTATTTTAAGAATGATTTTTTAAATAGCTGTACCTAGTCTTAAATGGGCTTATTGCATAATTATCCATAACATACTGAAACAGAACACTGTCAAGTAATTTCTATGAAATATTTATTGAAAAAAATTAAATGAGTTTTTAAATATCTGCATTAGGTGTGACACTGTAATCAATGGCAACTTTTTGATTAACATCACACTAATTTATTAAGAACAAAAATAATTCTCCAGGGGTCAGTATAGAAATAAGGAGATGTGACATGATTTAGACCCTTCATCTATCGCTTAGGAGGGACAACAGGAGATTATATACCTATACAGATTCCTCGCCTAATCAGATTTTTTGGCTGGAAGGGTAAAATGACATTTAGGATGTGTTATTTAGTAATGATCGAGGTAAAATGGTAGGAACACATAAGGACATGCAAATTATTGGGAAAAAAATCAAATGCGAAACGTTGAAAAGAACAGTAATATTGTGTCATTAGTTTACATACATGTAGTTAATTAAGAACATTATATTTTTCAAACATTGGTAGCACAGTCTAAACTTTTATGAACCATTAAATCATATATAAAAAATACATATTAAATCAAACAACTTCAGTTATTTCACATCATTTAACTTGACCTGACAGATGAATACATTTAACATGACATGACAGATGAATACATTTAACATGACATGACAGATGAATACATTTAACATAACCTGACAGATGAATACATTTAACATGACATGACAGATAAATACATTTAACATGACCTGACAGATGAATACATTTAATATAACTTGACAGATGAATACATTTTACATGACATGACAGATAAATACATTTTACATGATCTGACAGATGAATATTATTTTCAAAGTCGACAAAATTACTTCCCTTTTTGCTCTAGTTCACATTATATTTGAGCAATATAAGGCATTGTCAATACTGGAAATAAAATTGTACAATGTAAAATATTAATTTCAATTCAAATATGAAGTTATTTTATGGGGGATACTTTAATAAGCCAACAATACAGAAACGTTTTATATCCTAGTACAACTGTGTCATTTGGCCTTGGATTAATTTTCATGCATCAGTGATCAAGATAGATCTGTCCCTCAGTAACTTCATGTTATGAATATTATAGATTTACATACAAATGTATGACACATGACCAAACAACATTTTCTGGTTCCTATAGTCACTTTTAAGTTTTGAAATTTGCATTTTTACATGTGTATACCAGTGGTGTGACACCATGTATCATATAAGAAACCATGTTTTGCAAGTATAGAATGATGAAAAAATTAACAGATTTAATACTTTTTAATAACTCAGTACACAGCAGTTAAGATTAGATCTGTTGGTGTTCTGGAAAAATAACTTATCCTGGCCATGGATTGAAACAAATCGCAAAAACTAAAAACAACAGCCTTTAACAAAGCAAAAATACAGATAATTTATGATTGTCTTTATAATTTAGGGGTCAACCATTGAATATTTTGGGAGAATTTTGAAAATGAATATTCTGGTCTGGTAACAACTGAAAATGAATAATATTGCCCAAGGCATGATGTAATTGTATTCTGCACAACTAAATGCAGCCAATGCAATTGCAGGAAATAATTGTGTTTATAAAATAGAATATATATTTTCTTGCAGCTTTGCAGCTAAAAAAAATTGTTGATTCTCGCAAATGGTGAATATGAATATTCCTTCATATGGGACACTAATTTGTATGACAATTAATAAATAATTGGTTTGCTAAAATTAAAATGATGTGTGAAAAAAATTATATTCTATAACATATACAGAAACAACATTTATTTTCTCGACTATACCAAATTGAGCTATGATTTTAAAATTTGAGCATTTTTTAGCATTACAATGCAATGAATCTAGAAAATAAAAATAGTTAAGGGGAAAGTTGGAACAGCAATTTGGTAAGCAAGTTTATTATATGGGTACATGTATTTGGATATAAAAATCATTTCATTGATTGCTAATAATTTAAGGACTGCTTATTTAGGAAAGGACCATTTTAATGAATTAGGCGAGTTGGATAGATTTTGTAAATAATATATTTTAACTTGAGTCTGTAGTTACATCAAGCCTGCAGATAGTCCTTATATCTAGGAATTGTAGTTTTTTGTGTAATTATGAGTTGAATAATATAATTTTTTTTCTGTAAAGTTTCTTTAATGGAATAGCTTCATTGTCAAGTATTAATAAAATCTTTGTTTTCAGTTGATGATACTGCCAGTAATAAGCTGACAATTACTACAAGACGGTCATATCCTGAAGGTAAGGAAACTAGTTATATTTCAAAGTTTTTTAATTCAAATTAAGAAAATTATTATCTTTGTTAACATAAGTGAACTTTTTTTCTGACTGACTCAAATGGCCAGGTAACTATTGTCAACACTTGGGAACAAATTGTTGTCCTTTGTAATTTTTCAAAATGTAATGTTGATTGGCTTCAGTGTTTTCCCTAAAGCATTTATGCTTGTTGGACCCCATGCTTTAATTTAGACCCTCTTCCTTTAAATTTTAAAATTCCTTTTTACTCTATATATATATGCCTTCAAAGTTTATGACCACAATCCTTCAAAAAATTTAAAAATACACGATGGATTCATCATTCTGTCTGAGTATGGAGCAGGGGGTCATTTCCTGCCACTATTAAATATTTTAAAAACAGTTAAGATTACCCACCATTAACCAAATATATTCTAATTTACCATTATAAAACCTTTCCAGTATGTGGATGTGTTTGTACTGGATTGACTTTCATAGATGTAGGGGAGATTTTTTTGTAGTCCACTAGTCTAGCTAGTATATTTGTAGGTCATTGTTTGTTCTATATTGTTTTACTGGCCAAGCAACCATTCTAACTTTTAAAGTCACAGTTTATCTTCCTTTTTTATTGCAGCTACTAAAATGTATGATGAATCAAGTGATGAAGATGGAGGGTTTATTTTATCCTCACCTGCAGATGTCCTGGTTAATAAAGGAGCCTCTTCATTAGAACCACAGCATTCTCCTTCACCCACCGATAAAACATCAAGGGCAGATAAATCAGAATTACATGATGAGATACGACCACATCCATTTACTCAGAAAAGTTGTGATAACACAGTGCTATTTCAAAGCCGAATGCGTCCACATCCCCTAGTACAGAATTATGGACTTCCATCCTCTAATTTGAGACATGTGCAGCCTCATTCCAGTCAACTTAACAATTCAAGTATTTGTGTAGATAATGATTTACAGCACACTGTAACATCACATGCAGTGACTTATACATCTGTTGAAAGGACACCAGAATCAGCAGACAGTTACAAACCATTAAAAACTCATGCAGAAGAGTTTCCTGCTTTGTCAAGAGGAAATTTAGATAGCAAAAATCGTAAGAAAATGAAGCAAAGTAGTGCCAAAAAGATTATTGGAGGTAACACTGATAAGGTTGAATTTGATATGAATGAAGTTAAACAAAGTAATCCGAAAGTTTCAGAGAAGTGGTTAAAAAACACATTGGAGATGAAGTCTGTCTATGAACCATCTCGATCAGAAATGAAGAGTTTATTGGAATATGTAGAGAATAAATGGTTTGATCAAAATCCTACAGACAAATCTCAGGCTTCAACTTTGATAAGAGAATATTATTCAAGATCATGTCATCCATATGCACTTGCTGTTTATTTTATAGAAAACTGTCGTGATCATAACTCAGGTAAAACAACATCACTGTGTTACTATTTCATGAAAGAGTTTTTAGCATGGTTAAAAAATACCCATGTTGTAAATCAGAAGGAATTATTAACAGAGGATATCAAATTGAGAGCATTACAAGCTTGCACACGATATAATACCGCACTTTTTAGTATGGCAGTCACAGCATTTCAGCTGAATCAGCACGGAAATGAATACATGTTGCCACAGATTAAATTTTTCTTAGAGAAAAAGAAATATAATGAGGTAATTAATAAATAGATTAATTGAACAAGAATACAACTAAAAACCCAAATGAATGTACTGATTTGAGTACAAATATTTGGAAATGTACATGTGATTTCAATGATGTGTCCCAAGCTGCCTTTCCACCATTGTTAGCTCACCTTTCCGAAGGAAATGTGAGCTTTTGCCATCACTTGGCATCCGTCGTCGTCCGTCTCTGTCGTTGTCCGCCTGTCCGGTGTAAACTATTTCAAACATCTTCTCTGAAACTACAAAACCAATTCCAACCAAACTTAAGCTGAATGATCCTTAGGTTATCTAGAATAAAGCTTGTGTTTTATTTTCTATTTCGTCTAAAGACATTGCCGCCATGGCTAAAAATAGAACATAGGGGTAAAATGCAGTTTTTGGCTTATATCTCAAAAAACTAAAGCATTTAGAGGAAATCTGACATAGGGTTAAAGTGTTTATTAGGTGAAGTTCTATCAGCGCTGGAATTTTCAGATGAATCTGATAACCCATTGTTGAGTTGCTGCCACTAAATTGGTAATTTTAAGGAAATTTTGCAGTTTTTGGTTATTATCTTGAATATTATTATAGATAAAGATAAACTGTAAACAGCAAAAAATTTCAGCAAAGTAAGATCTACAATTAAGTTTTACATGACCAAAATTGTCAATTGACCTCTAAAGGAGTTATTGCCCTTTAAGGACAATTTTACACAATTTGTTTATAATGTTTTCTAACTTTAAAAAATCTTTTTCTCTACAACTACTGAACCAAATTAACCCAAACTTAAGCTGAATGATTCTTAGGTTATCTAGAATAAAGTTTGTGTTTTATTTTCTGTTTCCTCAGAAAACATGCTTGCCATAGCTAAAAATAGAACATAGGGTAAAATACAGTTTTTATACGGCTGCAAAAATATTTTGTGGTCGTATATTGGTATGACGTTGGCGTTGTCGTCGTCCGAAGACACATTGGTTTTCGCACTCTAACATAAGTTTAAGTTAATGGATCTCTATGAAATTTTACCATAAGGTTCAATTCCACAAAAGGAAGGTTGGGATTGATTTTGGGGGTTACTGTACCAACAGTTAAGGAATTAGGGGGCCAAAAATAAGCATTTTTGTAACTTCCAGACATAACTTGTGTGGTAGTGTATGGATCTCTCTGACATTATACCACAAGGTTCCATATCTCAAAGGGAATACTGGGATTGATTGTGAGGGTAATTGCCTCAAAATTTTAGGGATTAGGGACCAAAAAAGGGGCAAAAAACAAGCATTTCTCTAGTATCATGACAATAACTTGTGTGTAAGTGTATGGATCTTTCTGAAATTGTACTACAAGGTTCCATATCACAAAGGGAAAGCTGGAATTGAGTTTGGGGGTAATTGCCCAAAACGTTTAGGAATAAGGGGCCAAAATGGGGCCAAAAATAAGCATTTTTCTAGTTTCCAGACAATAACTTGTGTTCAAGTGTATTGATCACTCTGAAATTGTACTGCAAGGTACCATACCACAAAGGGAAGGCTGGGATTGATTTTGGGGGTAATTGCCTCAAAATTTTAGGAATTAGGGACCAAAAAGGGGCAAAAAACAAGCATTTTTCTAGTTCAGGACAATAACGTGTGTGTAAGTGTATGGATCTTTATGAAATTGTACTACAAGGTTCCATATCACAAAGGGAAAGCTGGGTTTGAGTTTGGGGGTAATTGCCCTAAACGTTTAGGAATTTGGGGCCAAAAAACAAGCATTTTTCTAGTGTCCAGACAATAACTTGTGTTCAAGTGTACAGATCTCTGCAAAGTACCATACCACAAAGGGAAGGCTGGGATTGAGTTTGGGGGTGATGAATCAGAAGGGGGTTCAAAAAATTTGGGGGAGGGATTTTTTTTTTCCTTTTTTTCCTTTTTTTTTTTTTTTTAAATTTTCCATTTTAAATTGGTTATTTATGATTTACATATAAAAGCAAATAATAATGATATGGTTTGAATAGATAAATTAAAAAAATTTATTTCCAGACAATAACTTGTGTTCAAGTGTATGGATCTCTCTGATATTGTACTGCAAGGTACCATACCACAAAGGGAAGGCTGGGATTAAGTTTGGGGGTGATGAATAATAAGGGGGTTCAAAAAATTTGGGGGAGGGATTTTTTTTTCCTTTTTTTTCTTTAAAAATTTTCATTTTAAATTGGCTATCTCTGATTTATATATAAAAGCAAACAATAATGATATGGTTTGAATAGGTAAATTAAAAATTTTTAAGTTCTTAGACCACATTCATTCTGTGTCAGAAACCTACATGACCTATGCTGTGTCTAATATTTAATCACAATCCAAATTCAGTGCTGTATAAAGCTTAAATGTTGTGTCCATACTTGACCCAACTGTTCAGGGTTCGACCTCTTCGGTCGTATCAAGCTGCACCCAGCGGAGCATTTTATTGACTTATATCTCAAAAACTAAAGCATTTAGAGGAAATCAAACAAAAAGTTAAAGTATTCATTAGGTCAAGGTCTATCTGCTCTGAAATTATCAGCCAAATCTGGTATCTGATTTTTAGGTTATTGCCCCTGAATTGATGCTTTAAATTAAATTATGCAGTTTTCGTTTATTATCTTGAATATTATTATATTATAGATAAAGATAAACTGTAAACAGCAAAAATTAACAGCAAAGTAAGATCTACAAATAAGTTTTATATGACAAAAATTGTCAATTGACCCCTTAAGGAGTTTTTGCCCTTTAAAGACAATTTTTTCACGATTTATTCATCTAGTTTGCTTACTTTTAAGAATGTTCTCCGTTGAAACTGCTGAATCAATTTCAGCCAAACTTTGGCTGAATGAGTTTCCGAGTATCTAGTATAAATTTTGTTTTTTATTTCCTTGTACGTCAAGAAACATAGCCACTATGGCTAAAATGGAACATAGGGGTAAAATGCATTTTTTTGTTTTTTGTTTGACAATGTTACTTACATGACGGTAATAACATGAATAAGTAAATGAAAGTACACTACTTTTGTCAGTCCATCATTAGTGCAGTTCCTTTGCAATTACTTGAGTTTTAATTTATCATTACTAATGCATTTAAATTTACACTAAAGTCATTTGTAAGTAAAGAAGGGTATTTATTTTACAGATAGCAGCCTGTTCCAGTTGTTGTAAAAGGGAATCTTTAAGTTCTGGATAGCCCCTAAGGCCTTATGTTATATTTTGGCAAAATTCTCTGAAAGTTTTCTTTTAAAGAACAACTGAAATTTTAAAATCAGATGCTTAGATTACATGACAGGAAAATATCTTTTTTTCAGGCTGCTGTTGTTGCTGGTAAATTGGGACTTCAAGATCATTTTACCATAGATGAGGTTAGTACATTTAACTTGACATTATTTAACCTTTCACAGTAATCATGTAAGGATAGGGTCACTCATTTATTGTTTTGTTCATCTTTGTATTACCACTAATATTTCTATCTATAGTATTTCATTTGGTAATAAATTAAAATTTAGAGATAAAAAGAAGTGATTTAACAGATATTTTCATAGACATTATCACTGTATCCTGGAAAAATATATTCGAGTTGACATACAAGTGTTAATTGCTTTGAAAATTTGAAAAACATATGAAGACATAATTGTTTTTAGATTTTAAGCTAAATTGAATATTGATATTAACTGTCCAATGGTATTATTACAAATCAAGAAGTCCTCAAATGGTCTTCACTGTGATATTTGAAATAAGGACAAATTGTAACATATCAGATATGGGTGCAAATGTATTGGTACAGGTTAATGTAAGCTTGTAACTATGAAATTTGTTGATAAGCAATGAGCTGATATTATACATTGTACTTTCAAGAAATATTTTCTTTGTTAATTGTTGTAAAGCATGCCAATTTTTCTTCCTTAGATAGCCTTGCCCTTAGTTCTGCAGGACAAAGTAAATGTTTTAGAAACATATGCAACTGGTAACCTCAAACTACAACAAATGGTTGTACAAATGTTAGATAGTCTGGTGGATAAAGATGTTGTTATTGATGATATAATAAGGTACAGTTCTCTGCTATAATTTAAGGATATTTGTACTTATTCCTCTTTAATGTTCTCTTATTTTCATGCCCCACTCTTTGATTTCTTAAAAAGCTATATGTTGTCGATACATATATTTCCCTTGTAATGATGGTCACAGACTTATTTTTGGTTATGTTAAACAATCTGTTACCTAGTTGGTAGTGAAAAATCGATGATTTACTACCTACAATGGTATGACCTTACGATTATTTTGATGTTTTGTGGTATTTTTTCACCTAGAACACCACTTTGAATGATGACTACTATTAAAATGAAGTCGGTGACCCCTATTATTAGTTTACATCATTAAAACAGAAATTAATGAACCAACAACATTTTAGTTTTCAAGAAAAATCTATGGATTTGAAATTGGAGATTTGATGATTATAAGACCAATTGAAGAACATTTTTCACCAATTTTATGTATTTTCTATACAAATGTTCACCTATTTTGAAAGAATTCAATCAGTAATATTTCAGAAAATAAAAGAGATGAATTTCATTTTTTTTTTCTGATTTTCAGTTGAAGTTCAATGACCCACAGTTCCAACAAAGTATTTCAATTATATATAAAAAACATTTTATTTTAGTAAAAGTGGTGTAACAAATCCAAAGAGGGAGAAATTGAATAGAAAGACACTTAGTAAACTTGCAGCAAGACTGATGAAGTTGTATGATATTCCACAAGGTAGTGTATAGTTACACTTGCAGCAAGACTGATGAAGCTGTATGAAATCTCACAAGGTAGTGTATAGTTACACTTGCAGCTAGACTATTGAAGTTGTATGATATCCCACAAGGTAGTGTATAGTTATACTTGCAGCAAGACTGATGAAGTTGTATGATATTCCACAAGGTAGTGTGTAGTTACACTTGTAGCAAGACTGATGAAGTTGTATGATATCTCACAAGGTAGTGTATAGTTACACTTGCAACAAGACTGCTGAAGTTGTATGATATCCCACAAGATAGTGTATAGTTACACTTGCAGATAGAGTAATGAAGCTGTATGATATCCCACAAGGTAGTGTATAGTTACACTTGCAGCAAGACTAATGAAGTTGTATGATATCCCACAAGATAGTGTATAGGTACACTTGCAGCAAGACTGATGAAGTTGTATGATATTTCACAAGGTAGTGTATAGTTACACTTGCAGCAAGACTGATGAAGTTGTATGATATCCCACAAGGTAGTGTATAGTTACACTTGCAGCAAGACTGATGAAGGTGTATGATATCCCACAAGATAGTGTATAGGTACACTTGCAGCAAAACTGTTGAAGTTGTATGATATCCCACAAGGGAGTGTATAGTTACACTTGCAGCTAGACTGATGAAGTTGTATGATATCCCACAAGGTTGTGTATAGTTACACTTGCAGCTAGACTGATGAAGTTGTATGATATCCCACAAGGTATTGTATAGTTACACTTGCATCTAAACTGCTGAAGTAGTGTGATATCCCACAAGGTATATCCCACAAGGTAGTGTACAGTTAAAACATTTGTAACTATACTGTGATTGAGATACATGATTCAATGATGAGTTTCTTTTCAACTCATAGAAAAAATCATTTACTATTTTCCTCAGAAACTTCTTGACCAATCTTAACTGAAGCCACTGTGCATATTCAAATGATTTTGTCCTTTCGAAATACCAATTGTTTTACTTTGTTTGAATTGTGACGGTTTCATCTTTCTAACTGATTTACTAGTAATATATTTGAGCTAGTAAATGTTGTAAGTATAAAGAAAGTGCAGTGTGATTAGTATTATTAATACCATCCTTTTCAAGTAATATACGAATATGAAAACAAAAGTTTAATTTTGATTCGGTTCACATATAACAGTACAAACATAAGCTCTTGACAGCTTTTTACTGATGCCTGCCTGTTTCATGAAATTGGAACAATTTTGAACACCTACATATCATGAACACTGGTTTAAAAAAAAAGTTTGACTTGGATACCAAAACTGAATAAATTTTACCATTTTAAATAGAATTGGTCTAAATCATTGAAAAATTATCAAAGCTTGACCACCATTACTACAAATAAAAAATAAGTTATAACTAATATACTTACAACTCCATAGTGTAAATCACATGGCATGACATAATTTGATAAACATTTTCAAATTTTAATTGTCTTATTTAACTCACTTATACCAAGACTATATACTTTTCACCATGAATGAAGGGAAAAAAAATTAAGGATAGATCTTATTAAAAGAAGTGATTTATTTGACTGATACTATATTTAGATGGAGTTTTTATATTGTTACCTTAGATAGCAGTGAATGTATGATATAGAAAAGGATTTGATATAAATGAAATCCATGTTGATGTTGTTGATTTGTATGTAACTTAGATATTACATCTATACAAATCATTAAAGGGAGATAACTTTACAGAGGTTATTATCTGAGCTCTTAAACAATTGTTATGTAAGATAGTTTTTTGCAATTTTACAAATAGATTTAAGTTCTTTTTAACTGTAAAAAAATAATTATCAATAACTTATATCAGGTTATTTTTGGTTTTTTTTATGCCCCCGCTGCAAGGCCGAAGGGGGCGTTAAGTGTTACTCTTGACAATCCATCTTTCAGTCCATCCCATTTTCGTCTGAAAAGCAAGCTTGAGCGGGGGCATTCTAGTCCTCAGACACATTCTTCTTTTATGTTCACAGTGATGGGGTACTTAAATATTCACTCTTATTAGCTCACTGGGGCCCAAAGGGCCCGATGTGAGCTTATGCCATCACTTGGCGTCGTCTGTCGTCGTAAACTATTTTAAAAATCTTCTCTAAAATTGTTCAATTGGTCAAGATCTATCAGCTCTGAAATTTTCAGAAGAATCGAACAACCCATTGTTGGGTTGCTGCCACCAAATTGGTAGTTTTAACAAAATTTTGCAGTTTTTTGTTATTCTTTTGAATATTCTTATAGATATATATAATATAAGCAGTAATAATGTTCAGCAAAGTAAGATCTACAAAAAAGTTAATATGACCATAATTGTCAATTGACCCCTTAAGGAGTTATTGCCCTTTAAAGACAGTTTTACACAATTTGTTCATCGAGTTTGCTAACATTTAAAAATCTTCTCTGATATACAGGTGAGCGATTCAGGGTCTTGAGAGCCTCTTGTATATTATTCACATATCATGGCCTTGTACAATGCATTTATATTTACAGTTAAATGTTTGTGTAGGGTAATGTTGCTGTAAAACAGTTATTGTGAAAATTAGACACACTAAAATTTCCCAATACAGTATTACATCCAGATATATTATATTGTACTTTCTTTGATTCTAACAAATATAATTTGTAATGCTTTTTTTTTTTACTCTCAGAATTATGTCCAAACATAAGTAAAGCCAGAGGAGTTGGAGCATTGAGGTACCTTTTATACAGAAGATATATAGAGGTAACGTAATGATTCTCTCATATAGGCAGAAAATAAATAACTGTACATAGTATAGGAAATAAAGTTAATGGCAAACTGGTAGAAATGTATTTATATGTAATTGTGATTTTTTTTATAGAAAAATAAGCATTCAACATCAAAACTATTTATTGTACATGCAATTTACCATAGTAACCATGATGTTTAGAAAAAAAAACTTACATAGACTATTATAAAAAGGGTAAAAACTGATATGAATAACCATCGTAAAAATATTTAGAATGTTTTGCTAATCATGCTGTTTTATTTTTATTGCTACAATTTCTTACCTTCTTTGATACAATAAAAATCCAGATAATTAATGGCTTTAAGTAACATAAGAAATTTTATTTGCATTTATTGTAGGGTAAGATGGGTACAGGAAGTTGGGAAGAACTAGTAGAGGTAATAGTTTTGCAGGAAAAAAAATTGTGTAGTAGGTGATTTAAAATAACTTTTCATTTTGTACTTTTACAGGTGTTTGCATTTTATATTGTTATCAAATTTGTTTTATTTTAAAATTTGTTACAAAAAAAAACAAAACATTAATATTCTCTTGGTACTGTTTTTGTAAGATTTTGCTTCAGTTAAATCCATTATTTTTAAACCTTCATCCACAAACGTATTAAGAAGTTTCCATTGAAATGTTCTGAACAAAGTTTAAGATTATTTTTTCAAGAACCTTTGCTATGAAAATTGTCAACAAGTAGGTTCAAGCGTTGTGAGTAGCAACTATCTTTTCTTCTAGTTAAGCAAATGATATTTGATTTGACATGATGTTTCTAGATCAGTTATTAATGTGTGTATGACTGAATGTTCAAAACCAATGCACTTGAACTTTTAAATGATAGTCACACAATTGTCCTCTTCTAAATAAGAATTAATACACCAATCTCGAGTTGATTTCTATGAATGAGTTACACCGTTTGATCCGAGGTCAATCTGGGTAAATTTAGCCATCAAACAATCTGTTCTTCCTGTGACTTAATAACATGAGCATTGTAGCATAGGAAATTTACGGGAAAGTGCATACATTCGAAAGTCATCTATCTATTTATGCATGGTTTTATTTTCCAGAATGCTGTTGGTGATAATGATTATTTGAAGGAACAGCTAGTAGAACAATTAATGTGTTATAATGAACTTACAGAAGCTGTTAAATGGGCTAGACATTTCAAGTTGACTGATGAATCTATTCCAGAAGTGGTTGCTGTGAAAAGGAGAACAATGGATGAGTAAGTGGGTCCATGTTAGAACTCATTTATCATGTGCTCTTAGTACATTATCTGAAGCTTTTTTAGGACCCTGCCATTTTGTTTTTTACAGATGTCCTATAACATTAGTAGGCATTCCATTTTAGGGCTATTCCATTAAAAAGAATGTACCAGGGTCGGACGGCAATTATAAAAAATCCCGTTGGTTGTTCATGTGTTGAAGCGTTTATGGCCAGTGGCCCTTGGTGTTTAGAGAAACTAAGTATTGTTGGTTGTTGGTCTTCTTTGACAGTCAGTTTTCGTGACTGTCGTTTTCATTGTGTTATTTTTCATTATTTATTATTATTTGTTTTTGCAAGGACTTATATAACCGATTGTTTTTGTCTCCTGCTCTTATCATGATATTTTGGAAAACATAACTGTTCCTGCAACTTACGCAGCGGCAGGCACAACGTTGTATTCTACCTATGGTACCAGTTCCGGAAGTGCAAGAGTTACTTCCCTTTAATGACAAGCACATGGCGAACGATGTCAAATTCTATTGAAAATAATATTCGGAGGTTCAAATTAGCGGTGGTCCAAGGTCTGCGACCTTCCACTATTGCCATAGCTGGACTTTCGTTTTGGTTACTAGCTAGCCCAGACGGATCTTCGATTTGAAAGAAAATAAAAATTAACTTTGCCGACCTTTTTTTACCATCAGTATGGTAATTTTAAAGCCATATTACTATTGAAAAGGATTTTTCTAGCATTCCACAGGGTCCAAATACCGGACCCATTCCTATTGGCAATGGCAAATACCCTACGTTTTTCCCAATTTTCAATTTGGGACAAAAACTTCCAAACGATCTCAAAATTTATTTTTATCTTTATTATTCATGACAGCGATGCTCATTTTGTTCAACCGCTAGCTTTATACTGAAAATCGCCAACAAGTAATGTGTAAATACGAGTAAAATTGTATCTGACTGACTAAAATAACATTGAAAAACAATATGGATGCCATAAACCGGAAATGAAGACGATTACAATACTGGATCAGATTCCGGGGTCGGATAAGGGTAATTCCGGGTTTGCCGATCAAATACAATAAAAAAAAAAAATAATTCCAGGCAGGTGACAAAATACATCTTTGATGATGAAATATGAACACTAGAATTGAAAACCAAAAGATATATGGAAAAGAAAGAAAAAGCATGAAATATTTTATACAGAAACTCAAAAATAACTTTTAGTTCACAAATTTTCGTGTCAAAATCCAATGAAATGTGACAGTAATTTTCTTTATCATTAATAAATGTTGATATTACATGTAGATGTTTTTATAGGGTATATATATCTACAATTCCAAGAGGTAATTTCTTCTCAATTTTGAAGGGCCAGTAAAAATATGGAAGTTTCTTACTTTATTTTTACAGAGGAACTAATATAATAGTGCAACCAGATATGATACATTTAAACAGCTTTGAATTTGAACTGTTACTTTAATTGTATACTCGGGTATGAATTGAACAATATAAAAAAAAGAGATACAAATAGCCCTTTATATCATAGTAAAACCAAACATTGTAGCTCCTTGAATGAGCACTTCTCTTCCAAATCTCACCACTCCTACCCATCAGTTTCAAAAAGAGAAGTCACTTCTCCCTATGAATCATCAGTGATTTTTATAAGATTAAAATTTGTTTCAAACCCTGGTGAACAAATTATATTTTTCATATTTAAGATTTAAAACACAATGAAGTTTGATCTCATTTCTTCCCTCCAACTCCCCCCTCCCCCAACTCCCAGTTCCCTCCCCCTCATTCCCAGGTTCCCTTAACCCTGTCCACCCCCTCTAAATTGTCCAGTAACTATAATGTTTAAATAACAATTCCTTTGGTTGTGGTAAATTAGAATAAAATAAGTTAGATATATTCCAGTTGGTTCTTGTATTATTATGAGACGACTTCCTGTTGGTTGGTGTTAAGATACATGGTACATTCCTCTTGGTCATGGAGGTACTTAAAAATTGCCTTCCGACCCTAGTACCTCCTTTTTAATGGAATAGCCCTCATCTGTAAATTCATCAGCTTTAGGTGTGTCCTACAGTGATTTTGTCAAGTTTATTTTTTTAGGAATTTAGTTAACATTTACACAAAATGTTTGAAATTTAAAAAATGAAGCTTTTTAAGTTTTAAAGAAATTACTAATTTTTGTAGATAGAATAGAAAATAAACACATGTTTGTTTGCAAAAGAAATAAAGGCATGGTAGAAACCTGCATAACTATATATTTCAGAGTAACACATGATAGAAGCGCCAGTAAAAACAGCATTATCAGTTGTAACTATAGCAGTCAGGGGCATTACTTAAACAAGTAACTTTTAAAATTACCTATACAAGTAATGTTGAAATCGAGGCTATTTTGAAAATTACTTATATAAGTAACTTTTCTAAATATTATTTTTATAGGTGTCCAATTATACAGATTTTACTAGTTTTAACACATTTTTACAGTCATCTGGTTATTTTTCTCATGAAATATAAAATCTAATCCTTCTGAAACACTAATTGCCTTTCTGACACACTTATCTTTCATATGACACTTCTGGGTCAAAGATTGGTCTCTTGGGACTATTAAAATATGGTTTTCCTTGAAAATCTTGAAGGTAGACAGATATAAATAGATGGAAACTTGTGAATTAATTAAGACTTGAAGTTATTTATAATTTGTAACCCAAAACAATTACATATGTTTCTGGAATAAGTGTTATTACTAATTCTTTCAAAGATTATTTTTAAAGTAACCCTTTATGTCTATACTCCTCTCAAATCTAATAAATTCTTATGTAAAAATTCTTGAAAACTACGTTTAGTCCATGCTTCTATTGAAATTTAGAATAACTCTATTGAGTAATTTTATATATTTTAAAAACAAAAATTACCTATATAAGTATTTAAAAAAAGTTACTTGTTTAAGTAACGCTCCTGACTGTATAGCTTCCTTGTAATCCTAGTAAATATTAGCTGCATGCATTTTTAAGGCAGCTTTGTTTTCTCCTGAAGCAGAATCAATTGTACTTCTCAGACAGCAATTTCATTATTCACATAATGTCATTTTTGTTCATGACATCAGTTAAATGTTGTTTCTTGCTATTTCAGAGGAGAAAATACACAAGAGCAAAATGCAGAAGGAGAAAATTGGGACGATGACTGTTATTCAGAAACAGAAATGTCTGCTCACTATTATACTTTAAACTTACCAGATGATCATATTACTGTTATAGATACTAAAGAAAGGTATCAGGCTTGTCTGTCTACTCTTACAAAGGTTTGTACACTTAGGAACTAGTCTAAAGATTGAAATCATTTAACATTCGGATTTGATATTTTTGACCAAAAATCCATTGAAACGAAGAGTTCAAGTTTTTTCCATCCTGTCTTTCTTAGTGCATTGAAATGGCCATACATGAAAAAATCATATGACTTAAAAATAAACATGCATTATTTATAGAAGGTATATAACCCAATCCTAGTTTGTTGGATAAGAAAACAGCATCATGTTGAGATATACAGGTTAAAGTACCTTTTTTTGATAATCGCAACTTTTGTCTGGGTCAATGTGTTAGCTTAAGCTTCATCAGATTTTTATAATCTACATGTATTTAGATTAATTAATTGTCTATCTAAAATAAAAAGTATGAATAACTGCAATTATTTTGAATTTAATTATACCTCTTTTTCAAATTAAAAAAGAGGGTAAACTGGTTTTCTTCTGTCCATCCCATCATAGGATTTTTCTCAGGAACTATAAATCTGAGCTTTCCTGAAAACTAATAGCAAGCTTTATGTTAGAATGTTATCTAGTGTGATGCATTTTTTAAAGATTCAATGTTTATCACCTTCCACCGAATATATATAGATTCTTACACATAATTGCCATATATATGAATTTTTTTTCACATTTTTCTCAGAACTTCCTGAAATTTAGTATCAAGCTTCATGTGAGCATAATATACCATGTCATGAATTCTCATATCTATCGCTGATTTACTTATTATTTGTCAAATATTTATAGCAGGGGAATCATTAGTTCATCTTGTTTTAAAAGTACAAGACACTTTTACAAAAAATATGATGAAAAATATGCTCTAAGTCATACATGGTTCAGTGTAAATTATGATCAATGTTATTTGTAAGATAATTTTTTAAAGATCTGCAGATATGTAATTAATCAAGACTTTTCTTCAGCCAGGAACTATGATTGGCATAGATGCAGAATGGAAACCAAGTTTTGGTTCTCAAGTACAAAAGTAAGTTGAAATTTGTATAGTGCAAAGTACATGGAAATTAACTGTTTCCAAATCAGATTGCACAATTAATATTTAGAACTGAAGATAGCAATATAAACATGCATTATAAAACAGTTGCATGTTTTTTGTTTATTTTTCTATAAAAAATAGAATTGAGAATGGCAACAGGCAATGTGTCAAAGAGACAACAACCTGACCAAAGAGCAGAAAACAGCCCCTGGCCACCAATGGGTCTTCAATGTAGCGAGAAAATTGTGTACCTGGAGGTGGGCTTCAGCTGGCCCCTAAGAACAATGTTTACTTGTTCAGCCAAATGAATGGAACACTAAACTTCGATACATATAAATGAACCAAAATTAAAAACACACAAGATTAACAAAGGCTAGTGGTTCCTGACTTGGGACAGGGGCATAAATTCGGCAGGGTTAAACATGTTTTGTGAGATCTCATCCCACCCTTTTACCTCCAGCCAATGTGGAATAAACAAAGACACAGCAATACACAGAGTTAAACTTAGTTTAAAAGAAGTCGGAGTCTGATGTTAGAATAGGTAACAGAAGAAACTTAGCAAAATCAAAAATGAATGTTTCAGTCCTCATCAACATTATTCAAAATTTAACCTTAAATAATCATGCTATTTTTGTTTTTTGTATTGTAGGGTAGCTTTGATACAGTTAGCAACATATGACCATGCTTACCTGATTGATGTGAAGACTTTACTGACAATTCTAACAGAGGATGATTGGCAGCTCATGGTCATATCTGTCTTCTGTAATCAAGATATTGTCAAACTAGGTACATAACTGTATATTGCTTTATATTAGTTTGGGTATCCTGCATCAAAACAAATTGCACAGCAACTGATGTACATTTTAAAAGTCTTCATGTTTGGCCAATTGAAATATTACTTCATTTTCTGAATGCTACTTCCTATGAGATCTTAAACCTTTCTCATTAAGATTTTTGTTATTATGTACCACATGATTTACCACCGTTTTGATTTGATAATTATTTTGAATATAAGGAACTTTAACCCTTTTAGGAAGCTGATCCTTTCAGGTATTAGTTGTTAGTACTATAAACCAGTCATCTTTTAATTATTTTGAAGGGATGTGTTCTTTTATAGAAGTTAAATCAAAATTAAAAACCAATTGTTCAGAGAACAATTAAAGGTCTTTCCACCCGAAAAGATCTATTTTGATACAAAAATGTTAAAATTCGGTTAAAAATGTTATTTCCAGCGTCAAATAATAGCTTATTGTACGCTGGTTTAAAAAAATATATGGTTTCTGGACATTTTTCTTTTAAATAAGGAAGATAATTTGTTACTTCCGGTTTGAAAAATGTCACTTCCGGTATTATTTGATAGTTTACCTGACACTGATTCAAAAAATATATGGTTCTATATACTTGTACATTACACAAGTACAAAAAAAAGCTACTTCCGGTTTACACAATGTCACTTCCGGTTGGCTTTTCTAAGGTCATATGGCTTGTAACCTAATGCATAAAGTCCCATGGCTTTATCATGTATACATATGAAGTAAAAGCAAAGGTCAAAATCTAGATCGTCAAATTTACCAATGACATTGAGCTCAATTTGAAGGTCATAAATCAAGGACCTAAAATCAAAAGATACTAGGTCTTTATTATATATATTGTGAATGAGTTATATCACCATACGCATAATTTTAAATCTAAGAGGGGATAAAACTCCAATTTAATGTTAGCGTACCTTTTCAACCAAAATGTATGTGTTACGACATGTCGCAACTAACAATTTAGTAAAAATATGTTGTCGATATCTTATACGGTTTTTGAAAAGAAGTGAAATTAAGCCAAAATCTAAATTTAGAATATGACCTTGATCTCTGACCTTGACCTAATTTTCTTTTTTTGGACCAAGGACCTCAAATCAAAAGACCTTATGGTTTACCAGTTAGAAATGCATATCACTTATATCAAATGCATAAGGGGGAACAACTCTCATATGGAGTCTACGGATAGCTTCGGTCAAAATAAAACGTAACATACTGAGGATATAATGAGCGTTTTGGAAAAATAAATTTGTCGCTTTCTTTTACGGTTGCAAAGGAGATCCCATAACAAGAAAAACAGTGTTCGGGGAGAGAACTCTTACACAGAAAAGTGTTCGGTTAAACAGGGTTAGTTTCAAAAGCGTATAGACTGTATGATATTATATACAGAAAAAATAAGCGACATTTTTTGAAACAAAAATACAGCGCAAGAAAAAAATTTGGCGGAAGAGAAAAAAAAAAAAAAAAATAATCAGAACAAAACGGAAAAGGTGAAAGACCTAATGAATGAGATATAGTTATAAAGGTAAATTTTGTATTCTAGGTTCTATTTATCAACAGATTAGTGGCATCAGTTATTTATGTCATTTTTGTAGGTTATGGACTAGATTCTGATTTTAAAATGTTTATCAAGACATTCCCTTTCATGGAGAAAACCCTAGCTAAGATGCAGAGAGTAGTTGATTTGGAGAAATTGGCACAAAAGGTGAGTTTGTTTTTCTTAGACTTGATTGACAGCTAGGTGCATCAAAGTATGAAAAGCAATGTCTACAGATCACACATGACTTAAATTTATAAGCGTTTCCACCAGGCATGGGGCAAATAACATTGCAATGTAATGCATTATATTACAATTACTTTGACAAAACCATGCATTAAAACCATGCATTAACTGCATTTTTTTTATGGAATAAATGATAACAGTGCCAGAGCTGGTTGGATGATTGCCTCATTGAGTCATATTTCACCAGCAGTGTAATTGACCATTGGAAGATTCAAACATACCCAAATGCAGCATTAAAAATGAATTATGTAAATCATTTGTTGAATTTACACTATTTTATTGCTTCGGAAATCTTTGTTAGAAAAACATCAGATTTTGAAGTGAAATTCTAAAGACTTTGATGCAGAATAGAATGTAGGTAGCTCTCGTGAGGTCATAGTATAAATGTACTAGTGATCAAGCTCCTTGTTGTCTGAAGTTACAAAAGATTACCAAAAAATGTTCATTGCTGTTATTCGGCATTAAGGACATACGATACAGTTACAGGAGAGGTAATGACGTTGCTAGCGTAAAATGTTATTTTTCGCGACGTCAAACTGTAAATATCGGGAAAAGATGCATTTTTCGACTGATTTTAATCATTAGCTTGAAAATGAACACATGGACCCCTCTTTTTTAAAATGACATTTGGTTTGATTATGTATGAAGAATATGTTTCCCAATTTTATGAAGAAATCACCGATGAATTTTTTTTGAATTGGATAAATATATAGCTAAAAAATGCCGTTTTTTTCTAAAATCATGTCGTCGTCGTCTGTCGTCGTAAACTATTTCAAAAATCTTTTCCTCTGAAACTACTGGGCCAAATACCTTCAAACTTTGACTAAATGTTCCTCATGGTATCTAGTTTATAAATTGTATCCGAAGTTTTGATCCGTCGATAAACATGGCCAACATGGCTAAAAATAGAACATAGGGGTCAAATGCAGTTTTTGGCTTTTATCTTAAAAACTAAAGCTTTTAGAGCAAATCTGACTGGGGTAAAATTGTTCAATTGATCAAGATCTATCAGCCCTGAAATTTTCAGCCGAATCGAACAACCCATTGTTGGGTTGCTGCCACTAAGTTGGTAGTTTTAAGGAAATTTTGCCGTTTTTTGTTATCTTGAATATTATTATAGATAGATATAAACTGTAAACAGCAATAATGTTCAGCAAAGTAAGATCTACAAAAAAGTTAATAAGACCATAATTGTCAATTGACCCCTTAAGGAGTTATTGCCCTTTAAAGACAATTTTACACAATTTGTTCATCAAGTTTGCTCACATTTAAAAATCTTCTCCTCTGAAATACAGGTGAGCGATTCAGGCTCTTGAGAGCCTCTTGTTACAGTATACATCATTCAAAGTTGTGTTTTTGTTGAAAAAATACTACACAAAACGTTGAAAAAAGCATAACATCAATGCGTTGTGGACTGTAAATTGTTGATTTTTGATGTTTTTACTACCAACTATGTAACAGATTGGTTAATGCACAAAAAATGCGTTAGGGGTTCCATGGAAACCTGTGTCTCGCCTTCGATTGCTGCTGTCAATGTGAAAGTATAATGTTGACTGAAAAAGTGAGTCCATTTATCAGTAAAATACAGAATTGAAAAAAAAAATCAAACTCTTTAGATGCTATTTCTTGGTCTTGAAGATTAGCTTATGTTCAAGTTTCATAACAATCCAAGATGGTTTACAAATTTAGCATGTCAAAAAAACTTAATCCCAGACTGTCTGTAAATGTTAACTGTAAAAAAACTAAGTCCATCTATCAGAAAAAATACTGAAAATGAAAATATATTTTCAAAAGTTTGCTTCAGAGATACCTCTTAATCATAAAAAAGCTTCTGCCAAAGTTTCATAAAATTATTTGAAGGTTTGACAAAGTAACTGATGTGTAAAAAACTTTAATCCTAGACAGTATCTACTTGTTAACTGTAAACAAAACTTAAGTCCATTTATCAGTAAAATACAGAAAAAATGAAATGTTTTCAGAATTTAATTCTGGATACTGTATTTTGGTCATGAACAGGCTTCTGTCCAAATTTCATAAAATTCCATGAAGGTTTGACAAAGTTATTGATGTCTAAAAAACCTTTAACCACAGACTGAACCTAAATGTTGACATCGCCAATACCCCTGCTGCCGACAGAATCTAGGATCGCTATGTCTCGCTGTTGTGACATGAATGTTGCAGGCTCGACACAAATGAAGGAGTGACCATTAGATTATTTTATATCATTTAAACTGAAATTTATGTATCAACAACATGTAGTTTTTTAAGAAAAAATCTGTGGATTTGAAATGGGAGATTTGATGATTTTAAGACAAATTTTAGAATGTTTTTAGATGATTTTATGTGCTTTTTATTCAAATGATCACCTGAATTGAAAGAATTCAATCAGTGATATTTCAAACAGTAAAAAAAAGATGCATGCATCATTTTTGTCGAGCCTTCGACTTTAGTCGAAAAAGCGAGACATAGCGATCCTACATTCCGTCGTCGTCGTCGGTGGCGTACACAAATAGTCACTCTGTGGTTAAAGTTTTTGAAATTTTAATAACTTTCTTAAACTATCCTTGATTTCTACCAAACTTGGACAGAAGCTTGTTTATGATCATAAGATAGTATCCAGAAGTAAATTTTGTAAAAATAAAATTCAATTTTTTCCGTATTTTACTTATAAATGGACTTAGTTTTTCTGCCGGGAAATATTACATTCACTCTGTGGTTAAAGTTTTTAAATTTTAATAACTTTCTTAAACTATCCTGGGTTTCTACCAAACTTGGACAGAAGCTTGTTTATGATCATAAGATAGTATTCAGAAGTAAATTTTGTAAAAATAAAATTCCATTTTTTCCGTATTTTACTTATAAATGGACTTAGATTTTCTGCCAGGAAACAACAAATTCACTCTGTGGTTAAAGTTTTTAAAATTTTAATAACTTTCTTATACTATTTTGGATTTGTACCAACTTGGACAGAAGCTTGTTTATGATCAAAAGCTAGTATCTAGAAGGAAATTTTGTAAAAAAATAAATCCGTTTTTTCTGTATTTTACTTTTAAATGGACTTAGATTTTCTGCCAGGAAACAACACATTCACTCTGTGGTTAAAGTTTTTAAAATTTTAATAACTTTCTTATACTATTTAGGATTTGTACCAAACTTGGACAGAAGCTTGTTTATGATCAAATGCTAGTATCTAGAAGGAAATTTTGTTTTCTTCCAGTTAACATAACATTCAGTCTGCAGTTAAAGTTTTTAAACATTTATTAGATTAATAAACTATCCTGGATTTTTACCAAACTTGGACAGAAGCTTCTTACAATCAAAAGGAATATTTTTATTGATTTACTTCCTCATTTTTGTTGAGCCTGCGATTAACAGAAAAAGTAGGCGAGACACTGGGTTCCGTGGAACCCTTACGAATTTTTTCGATTTTCAGTTATAGTTCAACGATCCAAAGTTGTATGCAAAATTTTACCAAAATCTGTGACATAGCCCATTTACTGTTCCTTGACCTTAAATGTAACTGTCATTGACTGTTTAAGACAACCCTACCATGACCTAATGTAACACTACAAATTTATTTTGAAAGGGCAGTCATTTGAAAGAATGGTTATTGCCACTCTTCACAAGAAAATTCTATCAGTTCACTATTTTGGAACCACAATAAGAACTCTTTAAACAAACTTTCAAAATCAAATCCTTATTGCTTCTTAACATTTTTGGTTTGAAAACTGAGCTAATTCGTGGTATGTGTAATGGATCAGCATAAAAAGAAAACTAAAAGAAAATGATTACACAATTCATATATACAATATTTTAATGACTTATATGTACTAAACATGCAAGAGACTGATTGGTTCATGGCTACTTAACTAACATAATATTACATAAATATTTAGGACAATAACTTGCGTTGAAGACAAGCATGCTTGGCTGCCTCACAAAGTGACATGGTCGACTGAGGGTCAGAATGATATTCTGGTAGGGTGACAAGCCTTTCTGTAGACTACAAGATATTATTCTGACCCTCAGCCAACCAGTCTTTGGTCTAGTGATTGAAGACAAGACTTTTGACACACCCGTCTACCAAAAAAACATCAAGGTGGTGTAATACCTGCAAGAGATAAAAAATTGACCAGGATATCTCAACGCCAAGCCTGCATAATCAGTACCAAAATTATACATTTATAGAAAAATGTAATAATATAAATTTTCTAAAATAATTATCAATATGAAGAATAAATCCTCCTGTTGACTTTTAAAGGTTTTAGATAAAGTGATTAACTTTATGCCAGATACAGAGGATGCATCAGATGATGACAAAGAGGACGATAATGACAGTGGTATAAACTTCAAGTTCCAGAAAATAGAAGAAAGAGGTCTGAGTGAACTTGTTCGTCAGTGTTTTGGAAAAGCCTTAAATAAATCTGAACAGATGTCTGACTGGGAGAGAAGACCACTTAGACAACCTCAGATTATATATGCAGGTAAAAATTGTGTAATCCAAACCTCAAACTTTCTGTTCATTATTATATACTGGTGTAACCATAAATTATCTTTACAGTAGGCTTGTTGAAAAATTATTAATGCCATTGGTGTTGTAGCTACTTCATATTCAAATATACCAATTTCCATAACAAATTCTTCATTAAATCCAATTAAAGGGCCTGTTTCTGAGCATATACATATACATGTACTGTAAATTCTGAAATTATTGCATGCATTTATAATTGCGTTTTTTTGTCAGGCCTGTGACTTCTGTCACAGAAAGCTTGACATAGGCATACGATCCAGCGGCAGCTTTAACTAACTACTTAACAGCTTAATATTTTAGAAGGTTGAAGACCTGGATGCTTCATACTTTGTATAAAGATGCCTTATGTTATGAAGTTTCCGTCTGTCGTATGTCCATTGTCCTTGACCTTATTTTCATTGTTCAGTGTCTACTTGAAAAAAAAGTTAAGTTTTTTTGTAATGTTAATTTCTCTCTTATTATGAGCAATAGGATAAATACATTTAGTATATGTGTACCTTGCAAGGTCCTCATGTCTGTCATACAGTTTTCATCTGACCTCGACCTCATTTCATGGATCAGTGAACAAGGTTTAATTTTCGTGGTTGTCCATATATAAGATACTATAAGCAATAAATCTACTATATTTGGTGTATGGAATGATTGTAAGGTGTACATGTCTAACTGGCAGGTGTCATCTGACCTGACCTCATTTTCATGGTTCAGTGGTTAAAAAAAGTTAAGTTTTTGTGTTTTGGTCTTTTTTTCTAATACTATATGCAATAGATCAACTATATTTGGTGTATGGAAATATTTTACGATGTACATGTCAGTCTGGAAGATTTTAATTGACCTTGACTTCATTTTCACGGTTCATTGCTCAGTGTTAAGTTTTTATGTTTTAGTCTGTTTTTCTTAAACTATAAGCAATAGGTCAACTATATATGGTGTATGGGATGATTGTAAGGTGTATATGTCTCTCTGGCAGATATCATCTGACCTTGAGTTAAGTTTTCATGGTTAAGTTTGTTTCTTAGATACTATAAGCAATATGTCAACTATATTTAATGCATAGATTGATTGTAAGGTGTACATGTCTGTCTGACATGGTTCATCTGACCTTGACCTCATTTTCATGGTTCATTGGTCAATGTTAAGTTTTCCTGGTTAAGTTCGTTTCTAAGAAACTATAAGCAATAGGTCAACTATATTGGGTGTATGGAATGATTGTAAGGTGTACATGTATTTCCGGTTGGTTTATCTGACCTTGATCTCATTTTCTTGGATCATGTTAAGTTTATGTGATACTTGTAGTAAAGCTTTATATTTAGGACTATCAACATAAAATCAATGGTCAGTAAAGCAGGCGAGACATTTCAGTGTGTGCACTCTTGTGATATAAGGGCAAAAATGTGAGATTAAATATCAAATTCTGCATACAGTTATATGTATCAGATACCACATTGTGAGTTCTTATTATTGCAATACTCACCCAGTTGCATTATTTGCATTAATAAAATCTTGCATTAATTTCTGAATTTACAGTATTATATAGTATAACTTTGAAGTGATGTGTGATTTCAAGATATATACAAAATTTCATTAAGCACAGGTCAACATTAATTCATTGTCAACTTGTCCAAAATAATCAATCCTTTTGATGACTATTTAACCTCAAGAATCGTATCAAGATGGATTATTAATTCAATTTAGAGTTGAAGGCAACCCTAACATGCTCAAAATTTTAATTGATTATTTCCTTTAATTGTTGAGGCTATCTTAATAATATACTGTAATCCCCACCCATTTAATTTTGATAGGAGTGACTCTCTACCAATCCATAAAATAAATTCTGGAATAGCCTGGATAACCATAAAAAATGATGATGGTGAGATTAGTTTTATAATCTAACCTTTTGAAATACTGAATAAATAATAAAGATTAAAAAGAAATTTTTGAAATGATCAAAAATAGCTTTATCATTATTTCCTGAGCACTAAGAGAAATTGTATTGCTATGTCATTACAGCATTAGATGCCTACATTCTTCTAAAGGTCTATGACAAACTTGTGAAAATAGCCAGAGAAGAACATCTGAAAATAGATTTGGAACCACTAACTTCTATGAGATGGATGAAAATGAGTAGAGGAGATAAGAAAAAGGCCAAGGCAAAGGGTCAGAAAATAAAACCAAGGCTTCCCAAACAGTTGGTTAGTCCTTTTATTAATTTGCTGGCAAACAATTGGTTCTAAATAATATTTTATATTTAAAACTTTGTATTTTGAAATTATCAACAGACCTTGTTAGATATAAACATATATACTGTGGATCTATTATGATTTGTTTTGATTCCTAATCAAGGATTACATTGGTAAAGTTTAACCATGAATTTAGATGTTCAACTAAGTACAAACCACGAAATCAAATATACACGAACATACATTTTTTCCTAAATCCACAAAAATTTGTACCCATAAAAATAAATGAATGGAAATTTCAGTATGGAAATTATATGATGTTCAGCAATTATAGACACTAGGAGGAAGGAAGTTTAAAATTCTGTCAGGTAAAAAACATAGAACATCTCTTTCCTTTATTTTGTATTTTTATGTTTTGTACCATCTTGTCCATCATTCTAGGATTGTTACATTTTAACATACATGAATCCCAGGGAAGTTGAGTTGCCATTTGTAGAAGTGTATTTAGCACTCACTATCATCTAATGCAAGCTACCATATATCATTAACAAAGAGATAACAACACTGATAATGGTGCAATGTATAATTCAAAGACTGAGACATTTTGTTATTTTTTCAGCCTCCAGGTCCAAACCAACAATCACCATACGATGCTGAATCACCGGTCTCTCCAGGGGATTTTACAGTAGTGGTGGATTCCATGTTACAAGGACTTGGGAAACAACTGAGAAGTTGTGGTGTGGATGTACATATACTTGATAATACTGATAGTCATGACAGGGCTATAGAGGTATGTTGTCAACTTTCTCTTTGCTATTTCTTGTATTGGTACATGTTATTTTTATAAACCAGCCTAAAAGAAGCACAGGTTTATTGGTTAAGCCTTATCTGGTTATTCTTTTGTCCATTTGTCATATTTCCATAATCAATTTTTTAGAAACTTGGAATCACAATAATTATTATACCCCTGTCTGTCCGTCAGTCCATTCCTTCATCTGTCCCATGACATTACTATCACAGTTTTCTCAGGAATTACAAATCAAATCAGAGCTTCCTAAATATTGGTATCAGGCTTAATGTGAGCATGCTATACCATGTGATGTGTATTCAAATTCATCCCTCCTCAACTTCATGTTAACTTATATTTATAACACATAATGGCCATGTATAAAATTTTCGTCACATTTTCTAGGGAACTACAAATAAAAAGTTCTGAAATTTGTTTTAAGGCTTCATATTAACATGCTATACTGTTTGATGCATTTTCAGATTCATCATATGTTCACATCCTTTTTACCAAATATTTATATATTCTAATACATAATGGCATCAATTGAATCTTCATTGCACTTTACTAGAGATCTACATACAATAATGTCCTGAAATTTGTTATAAGGCTGCATATGAACATGCTATACCATGTTTTAAGACTTATCGCTCATCAACTTCCTGTTTATAAAATACTTATATTTTCCAATACATAATGTCCATGTATGAAATTTTGTCACATTTTTCTAGGGAACTACAAAATAGAGCTGCCCAAAGTTTTTTATCAGGCTTCATGTGAACATGCAATACCTTCAATGTGGTCAATTTCATATCTATTCCTCTTCAACTCCCTGTTTACCGAAGACTTGAAATGGGGGGGGGGGATATCATTAGTGAACTATAACTCACAGTTTTACTTGTTTGATGAGATATACGATTTAGTATGCTATTCGTAAAGTGTTGTGCATTTTCATGTGTTTTGTCGTGGCTATACCTTTAAAGATAGTGTCTTATATATAATGTCTTGGAGCAAAATATCTTTTAGAGTGAGGCTTGGGCTTACAGTATATCTGTGCAATACTTAAAAAGGGAAAACCACTCAAATTTTCAGGCATGCAGCAAATGGCAGATTATCATATTAATGAGATAAAAAAATGTGTAATTAATTTTTTAGCCTGTTGGTATTTTATGCATTTGATTGTATGTGAGAGAATAGAAAATTTCTTTTTTGTAAGCTATGTTACCATTTTCTTAAACCTATTTCACAATTATTTATTCTATAAACAAACATTTCAATTTGTAGATCTGTCAAAAAGAGAAGCGTGTAGTTCTCACTTCAGGAATGCCTTACACGAGGGTACGTAATTAAATCATATTTTGCTTATGATAACACCATTATTTCTTTATAGCATCAGTACTTAAAATAATGCAATAGTTTACATATAAATATATATATATACATATGCAGGTTGAAGACGAGTTTCATTTTTTAATGGAATGCACTGCATACGAAAAGAAAAGGAATTTTATTTTTAATGAAGCATGCATTCAATCTAAAAACTTCCCTTATATTTCAAAGTACGAACAGTAGTATATTTGGTTGATGTCCAGTGAGTCTGAAAATGTAACTATGTCAGTGTCAGGATTTATTAATACTCGTTTTGAAATAAGAGAAAATTTGCATTCCAGAAACTAAATATACATGTAGTAGTGATGTAGTTTATGTTTTATGTATTAGAGAGGGTGAATATTCTATTTTATTTATTTTCAAACACCATCTAATATGGTATATAGTTATTTATTCATTTATTAGTCCCCTACCAAAGAAGTCACAGGGGACTTTAGGTTTGCACTCTGTCCGCCTGTCTATCTGTCTGTCCATCCTTCCGTCCGGTTAATCAGTTTTCCACACTTTTTTCTTCGTGCTTGAAGATATTGATTTGATATTTAGTATATAGGTTTATCATGACTAGTTACAGATCAAGTATGAATTTTGTTCCGGTCTAATGATTTTGTGAGGAGTTATGGTCCTTGGACTTAGAAAATTCATGCAAATAGTCAGTTTTCCACACTTTTTTTTGTCATGCTTAAAGATATTGATTTGATATTTAGTAAATAGTTTTATCATGACTAGTAATAGATCAAGTTCGAATTTTGCCCCGGTCTTATGATTTCATGCAGAGTTATGGTCCTAAGACTTAACAAATTTCAAGAAAGTAATCAGTTTTCAACACTTTTTTTTGTTATGCTTGAACATGTTGAAGATATTGATTTGATATTTGTTATAAAGTTTACACCATGACAAGTTATAGATCAAGTTAGCATTGTGTTCATGTATGATATTTGACTCATCCGAGGTCGAGTGCGTCGTCATAAATTTGGAATGCATGAAATACGGTATGATTTGTGTAAACTAGATACAATGAACAGTGTGCCTTTTTTCGATATGACACTTTAAGATTGTGTATTCAATCTCCATTTTTGGTCCTTCATAATAATTAAACACACAAGTACAGAAACAAATAATGCACAAATAAAATCAATAGTCTACACAAATATTTACAAAGGTCAGTCACTATAAATTATGAAATCACTCGCGGAACGAATTAAATTATGAATGGTCTCTGATGAGCCAGAGGTCGTCTGCTTTACATTAAATTCTCATAAATTTATCATAATTGTCCTAATCCTTTTATTTATCGTAATTAATGAGTTTTAAATCTAACGATTCATTTAATCTCGGCTTGGGTCATTTAAATTCGTTTTGATTTTATCTGATGTGATAAATGTTCAACACACTAACATTCCATTTGAACGATCAACTAAAGGTGTTAATTACCGGTCACCATAAACATGTCATTTTAACTTTTATACAAACAAGTATGTTTACTCAGCTTTAATCTCTTTTGAAAATGATAAGGTTACATGAGAAATACATCCGATTTGAATTTTTATCATTAGGTCTGCATCTTTTGAAAATTCTTACTTTTGAACTTCGAGTCATCGGGGTCAATTTACATGAATTTTACATCGACGGGACTATAAAATTGACTGGACTTAACCGAGTATTCGAATCAACCGAGTTCGACTCATCAGAGGTAATTATGCATTGATCAAACGGGAATTTTACCGGGACCGAGAAATTACTTCGACTCATCCGAGTTTTCGACACAACCGAGGTCGACACAACGAGGTTCGACTGTATATGCTTGGAAACAGGCCCTTTAATTGAATTCAATAAATATTCCTATTTTTATACGACCGCAAAAAAATTTTGAGGTCGTATATTGGTATGACGTTAGCGTCGTCGTCCGAATACACAATGGTTTTCGCACTCTAACTTTAGTTTAAGTGAATGGATCTCTATGAAATTTTACCATAAGGTTCAATACCACAATAGGAAGGTGGGGATTGATTTTGGGGGTTATTGTACCAACAGTTAAGGAATTAGGGGCCAAAAAGGGGCCGAAAATAAGCATTTTTGTAACTTCCAGACATAACTTGTGTGTTAGCATATGGATCTCTTTGACATTGTACCACAAGATTCCATATCACAAAGGGTCAATGCTGGGATTGATTTTGGGGTTAATTGCCTCAAAATTTTAGGAATAAGGGGCCAAAAGGGGGCAAAAAACAAGCATTTTTCTAGTTTCATGACAATAACTTGTGTGTAAGTGTATGGATCTTTCTAAAATTTTACTACAAGGTTCCATTTCACAAAAGGAAAGCTGGAATTGAGTGTTGTGGTAATTGCCCAAAACGTTTAGTAATAAGGGGCCTAAAAAGGGGTTTAAAATAAGCATTTTTGAGTTTCTAGACAATAACTTGTGTTCAAGTGTATGGATCTCTCTAAAATTGTATTACAAGGTACCATACCACAAAGGCAAGGCTGTTATTGAGCTTGGTTTGGGGGGAAAGGGGGGTGGGGGTGATGAATCATAAGGGGGCGGGGGTCAAAAAAGGGGTAATTTTTTTTTTTCCTTTTTTTTTTGTTTAAAATTTACATTTTAAGTTAGTTATTTTTTATCACGAAGAGAAAGTAGGAATTGAGTTTTGGGGTTAATTGCTCAAACATTTATGAATAAGGGGCCAAATATTGGTCGAAAATAAGGATTTTTTTAGTTTGCAACAAAAACTTGTGTTCAAGTGTATGGATCTCTGCAAAATTGTATTGCAATGTACCATACCACAAATTGAAGGTTGTGATTGAGGTGGGGGATGATGAATCAAAAGGGGGTTGAAAAAATGTGTGGGGGGTAGGATTTTTTTTTTTCCTTTTTTTTTTCTTTAAAATTTTCAATTTAAAGATGGTTGTTTCAGATTTATATATGAAAGAAAATAATAATGATACGGTTATATATCATGAGGAATTGAAATTTAAAATTATGTATATTGGAAATTTAGGTTACATTGGAAAGTAATAATTGGCTTTGGGGGGGGGGGGGGGGGGGGGGGGGGGGGGGGGGGGGGGGTGGTTATGGCTCTAATGTTTAAGGAATAAGGGGAAAAAAGGTTAAAAAACAAGGGTTTCCATTTTAATAGACAAATAATTGAGTAAAGAACATTATTTAAAAGCAGTGTAAGGTTGGTAATTCAAACTCATTTAAATCTCTCATCTACACTGCTTTTAAATTATGTAAATTGGAAATTTGCCAATAACTTTATTGTTAATAAATGCATTGGAAATTTGCCAACAATTTTAGTGTAATAAACTTCATTGGAAATTTGCCAATATAAAATTTTGCTGATGAAGGTTTTTTGTTTACCTTTAGCCTTGACTATGAAGTCATTTTCTATTTTTATAGCCTTATGATGTAGTTGAATTATTTAATACTTTTATGATGTGTTTAAATGGGGTTTTATCATGTTTATGGTTGCAAATTTATTGTTTTAGTATAATAAACTCCATTTAAAATTTGCCAATAAAAAAATTTTTTGTTTATTTTTAGCTATGATTATGATGTCATTTTCTATTTTACTTTTATGGTTGCAAAGAAATTTTTATTTTTAGATATTACTGTTAAATGATGCTGATTAAGGTTTTTGCTATGTTTAGCCATGACTATGATGTCATTTTCTATTTTAATATCTGTTATGATGTATTTAAATGGGCTTTTATGGTTACAAAGGAATTTTATTTTTAGATATTACTATAAAATGTTGCTGATGCTGATTAAGGATTTTGTTTATTTTTAGCCATGACTATGATGTCATTTTCTATTTTAATACCTTTATGATGTAATTTACTGTTAAATGATGCTAATTAAGGGTTTTTTGCTATGTTTAGCCATGACTATGATGTCATTTTCTATTTTAATATCTTTATGATGTATTTAAATGGGCTTTTATGGTTACAAAGGAATTTTATTTTTAGATATTACTTCAAATGTTGCTGATTAAGGATTTTTGTTTATTTTTAGCCATGACTATGATGTCACTTTCTATTTCAATACCTTTATGATGTATTTAAATGGGCTCCCATGTATTTAGATTTTTGATTATTTATACATGTTACCAAATTGGTCCACATTGAACAAAAACGGTCCAAATTTCAACTTTATTACATTACATCAAACATTGAATTCTACATATTCTTTGATATATTGAAATTAACAAACAATTTAGTTTATGGATATTCCACCATAATAGGTAAATTAATTTTTTTCCAGTTCTTACACCACATTCATCCTGTGTCAGAAACCTATGCTGTGTCAAATATTTAATGACAATCCAAAGTCATAGCTGTATCAAGCTTGAATTTTGTGTCCAAACTTGCCCCAACTGTTCAGGGTTCGACCTCTGCGGTCGTATCAAGCTGCGCCCCAGCGAAGCATTTTATTATTCTTATAAAAAAGAAGAAAGCGTTGTAAACAAGAAGGATTTGTTTCTATTTAGAATTTTTTTTTAAAGATGACCTTCTGGCCATAAATCTGTCATTATTTCAAAAATTTTATTTAAAATCACTGGAAAAGTCTGGATAAAGTCTTCTGACCTGAATATTTTTTTTTTAATTTTTGTGACTGCTATACCATGCAAAATTAAATTCCAAAGGCATGAGAAAAAATGTATATGGCCTATTGAATCTGAAATAAGGATTTTTTTTTTCAATTCTGCTGTTTAGGTAACTATGACAGCCATATTTGATGGAAGTTTTAGTGACTAATCATGATTTCAAAGGAGATTACAAATATACCTATTCCTGAAGTGTATTTGGCGATGATAGATAGTTTAAAATTTTTATTTTTGAAAATTTTGTCCAGTGATCTGTTTCTTAACAATTTTATAAACTTTGAGGGCAATTTTTCTTTATATACAATATTTTTTTTAAATATCTTTTTCAATAGTAAAAGCCTTTTTTGGCTTAAATTTCTTTACATTTTTATACGACCGCAAAATATTTTTGCGCTCGAATATTGGTATGATGTTGGCGTCGTCTTCGTCGTTGTCCGAAGACACATTGGTTTTCGCACAATAACTTTAGTTTAAGGGAATGGATCTCTATGTAATTTTACCATAAGGTTCAATACCACAAATGGAAGGTTGGGATTGATTTTGGGGGGTTATGGTACCAACAGTTAAGGAATTAGGGGCCAAAAATAAGCATTTTTCTAGTTTCCAGACAATAACTTGTGGAACGGTGTATGGATCTCTCTGAAATTATACCACAAAGGGATGGTTAGGATTTGCTTTGGGGGGGTTATGGCTCAAACTGTTTAGGAAATAGGGGCAAAAAAGGGGGAAAAACAAGGGTGTCCTGGTTAATGGACAAATACTTTAGTACAAAACATAATTTAAAGCAGTGTAAGGGAGGAAATTCAAATACATCATTTGAATTACCTCCCTTACACTGCTTTTAATTTATGTATAAAGTAATGGTTAATGAACAATTAAGACAATTTAAAAGCAGAGGTAATCCAAATAGGTTTTGATTACCTCCCTTCAACTGCTTTTAAATTATGTTTAAAGAAATGCATATTTATAAATGAAGACCAGTAAAAATATCTGCAAATGTTGCATCTTTTTTTTTTACAAAAAAATCCATATGAAAGATTTGACACCATATTTTAAATTCTATAATAAAATAGATTTAAGTTACACTATGGTAAATTTAAATGGGTAATTATGGTTGCAAACTCCATTGGAAATTTGAATTGAGATTATGACCATATCTTGAGGGAAAGAATTTTTTTGGGGGAAAAGGGGGGGTTAAAAAGAAAATTATTCTTTATTCTGTGTCAGAAACCTTTTATGTGTCAAATATTTAATTACAATCCAAATTCAGACCTGTATCAAGCGCGAGTATAAATTGCGTCCATGTTTGCCCCAACTGTTCAGGGTTGGACCTCTGCGCTCGGCAAAGCAATTTATTGGAAATAATTTAACACAAGCCAAGATTGAATCTTAGCATAACTGTTATTTCAGGTCCAAGGAATAGTAGGAGAAAAAATGTGTTATAATGTACAGACAACCACTGCTAGAGAACAAGTGGTAGAGGTTTTACAGTATTTTAATGTCAAGGTTACTGAAAAAGACATATTTAGTAGATGTAAGGTATGTAGGATCAAATAGATATTTGAAGAAATGGCTATTTGAGATTAACCTTAGCTTTAAATAGTTAGAGGCCTTATTATTTATGATCCTTTAAACATTGTCTCTGCCATTAATAAAAAAGAAAATATATAAAAAAAATCAACAATTTTCATTTTGGTAACAATCTTCTCCTGTGAAACACAAATTTTAACAAACTTTTGCTTGCATCATTCTTTAAAAATATGTTGAATCACCCTAATATTAAATTAGCATGGATTCTGTTTCTAAAAATCATAAAAAATGCAATAAAACCTGTAAGGGACTAATTACTATCAACTTTCAAGTTCACATAAAGACTATAATCAATTTAAAGATTGGATTATACATGTATAATTGTAAATAAAGACTATACTCAATTTAAAGATTGGATTATACATGTATAATAGTAAATAAAGACTTTTATAACACATTATGGATTTAAGTTAACAGAAGTTTTCACCAGCATGAAATAATACATGAATATTTTTCTTTTTCAGGTATGCAATGGAAATGTCTATCTTCAAGTTCCAAGCAATGTATTTAAAGAAAATTGGGTAAAGTTAAGGACATTCAGTGACCAAGATAAACCAATCACAAAGCCCAATGTCCAATACGGCATTAATTGGTCAACCATGACTGTTGTAAATAACAATGTTCCACTTCAGTTGGACTCTATACCAGAGCCCATGTTTGACAAAGTTAATAAGTTCTTTTGTTGTGGAACTTGTGGTAAAGTATTCTGGGAAGGATCACACTTTGCTAAAGTATGTGATCAGTTTTCACATGTTTTAGATATGACTGATACAGGAAAGAATATTTATAACAGTTGATTACAAAAAATGAATTGTTTTGAGTTGAAGATTATTATGCAGTTTTAATATTGAAAATGAACTAAATGGATAAAAGAATGGATTGCTACATTTAACAATATGTGCCTATGAAGATCAGGAGTACAAGTAATCTACGGTAAAATGACTGATGTTTTTGATGCAATGTTATTAAGTATGTTGACTAGATTGACAGTTGTTTAATCATTTAATATATGCAAAAACAAAACATGAAAAATTAAAATTTTGTAAATACACTGCATTTTTATTCTTTATACATGATGCTAGGGCATAAAATTTTAGCCCTTGTGACTTTATCTAGCAGTCTATAAAGACATCCCAGTATCATTTAGAAAATGTTTGGTTCAAATAAATGATGTTTCACCAATTAAATGCTTTTGTATAGTACTGTGTCATTAAGCAACATTTTGACCACAACGACCCACATTTTATGTTTACATAAAATCAAGTTTTGATGAATTCCATTTCTCCTATGTAACATATCAATAATATTTCACCACAGCATCCTTATATAGTACAATACTGTTCAGAAATATTTTGGTATCTATACTTGTGTTTTTGTTATTTGTTTTTAGAGTTGATGCATTCATGTCATACACAAAGATCAGGAAATTTTGGTGGCATCACTTTTACCATTCTAGAGTTATGCCCCTTTACAAATGGAAAAATTGCTGAATTTTTCGTTTCCGTTCTCTAACTTTAGTTTGCCTCAACCAAATGTTATGAAACTTTTACACAATGCTTATTACCACAAAACACAGATCAAGTTTGAGTTTTGGTGGCCTCACTTTTACTGTTCTAGAGTTATGCCCCTTTACAAATGGAAAAATTCCTGAAATATCTGTTTCTGTTCTCAAACTTTAGTTTGCCTCAACCAAATGTTATGAAACTTATGCACAATGCTTTTTACAACAAAACTCCGATCAAGTAAAAATTTGGGTAGTGTCACTCTTACAGTTCTTGAGTTATATTCCTTTATAACTTTATATGCAAGCGGGAGCATCATCTGTGTCCCATGGACACATTCCCCATTTATTTTTTTAATTATTGTTCCTTATTATGAAAACTTTAAAAGTTAGAGAGAAACTTTAAACAGCAAAATCGATCAGCAAGACAAGATCTACTAACAGGTCAACATGGCTGAAATCGTTAGATAACTCCATATTGAAGTGATTGCATTAATGACAATTTTTACTATTTATTTGTGTTTTTGTCAAATATCTTAAAAACTAATATAGATAGATAGAAACTTTAAAAAGCAAAAATGATCAGCAAGATAATCTTAAAAGGAGTTAAATGACTGAAATTGTTAGTCAACTCCTAATAGGAGTTCTTGCTTAAAATGACAAATATTATTTTACCCTTCTTTTTTTGTGTTGTGGGCAAAAACTAAAGAAATACAGAGAAAATACAAGATCACCAAAAAAGAGATTTTTGTCATGAATTCTATTCTAGCCCCCAATGTTGGAGAGTGTCCATTGTTGAAGATGCACATAGACCTAGGTGAGCTACACAGGCTCTTTCAAGTTAAGCCTCTTTCAACTGATTTTTATAGTTCATTCTTATGTTGTACTGTTACACCACTGTCCCAGGTTACGGGGAGGGTTGGGATCCCGCTAACATGTTTAACCCCGCAACATTCTGTATGAATGTGCCTGTCCGAAGTCAGGAGCCTGTAATTCAGTGGTTGTCTTTTGTTTATGTGTTACATATTTGTTATTCGTTCATTTTTATGCCCCTGCCATAGCGGAGGGAGCATTAAGTTTTACCCTTGTCCGTACGTCCAAAAAATTGGTTTCCATTCTCTAACTTGAGTTTGCCTCAACCAAATGTTATGAAACTTATACACAATGCTTATTACCACAAAACACAGAACAAGTTTGAATTTTGGTGGCGTCTCTTTAATCGTTCTAGAGTTATGCCCCTTTATAAATTGAAAAATTGCAAAATTTTTAGTTTCCATTCTCCAACTTAAGTTTGCCTCAACCAAATGTTATGAAACTTATACACAATGCCTATTACCACAAAACACGGATCAAGTTTGAATTTTGGTGGCGTCACTTTAACCGTTCTAAAGTTATGCCCCTTTATAAATGGAAAAATTGCAAAATTTTTAGTTTCTGTTCTCTAACTTAAGTTTGCCTCAACCAAATGTTATGAAACTTATACACAATGCTTATTACCACAAAACACAGATCAAATTTGAATTTTGATGGCGTCACTTGAATCGTTCTAGAGTTATGCCCCTTTAAAAATGGAAAAATTGCAAAATTTTTATTTTCTTCTAAATATCAAGTAATTTTTATATGACCGCAAAAATTAAAAAATTTTTTGGTCGTATATTGGTATGACATTGGCGTCGTCGTCGTCCGAAGACACATTGGTTTTCGCACTCTAACTTTAGTTTAAGTGAATGGATCTCCATGAAATTTTACCATAAGGTTCAATACCACGAAAGGAAGGTTGGGATTGATTTTGGGGGTTATGGTACCAACAGTTAAGGAATTAGGGGCCAAAAAGGGGCCAAAAATAAGCATTTTTTAACTTTCAGACAATAACTTGTGTGTAAGTGTATGGACCTCTCTGACATTGTACCACAAGGTTCCATATCACAAAGGGAAGGCTGTAATTGATTTTGGGGGTAATTGCCTCAAAATTTTAGGAATAAGGGGCCAAAAAAGGGGCAAAAAACAAGCATTTTTCTAGTTTCATGACAATAACTTGTGTGTAAGTGTTTGGATATTTCTGAAATTGTACTACAAGGTTCCATATCACAAAGGGAAAGCTGGAATTGAGTTCGGGGGTAATTGCCTGAAACGTTTAGGAATTGGGGGCCAAAAAGGGGCCAAAAATAAGCATTTTTCTAGTTTCAAGACAATAACTTGTGTTCAAGTGTATGGATCTCTCTGAAATTGTACTGCAAGGTACCATACCACAAAGGGAAGGCTGGGATTGAGTTTGGGGGTGATGAATCATAAGGGGGTTCAAAAAATTTGGGGGGGGGGATTTTTTTTTTTTTCTTTTTTTTTTCTTTTTTTCCTTTTTTTTTTCTTTTAAAATTTTCCATTTTAAGTTGGTTATTTCTGATTTATATATAAAAGCAAATAATAATGATATTGTAGGAGATACACACCAAACAGGATGTGTAAATTTTTATATAATAAGTATTGTGCAATAGCAAGAAATTTTCAATTGCACAGTATTGCACAATAGCAAGAAATCTTCAATTGCACAGTATTGCGCAATAGCAAGAAATCTTCAATTGCACAGTATTGCGCAATAGCAAGAAATATCCAATAGCACAATATTGCGCAATAGCAAGAAATTGTCAATTGTACAGTATTGCGCAATAGCAAGAAATATTCAATTGCACAGTATTGTGCAAAAGAAGATACTTCTTATAAATTGCTCATTTCTTGATCAATTTCAATGGGGTTTTATTCTTGAATTCTTGGGGTTCTTTAATATGATGAATATAACCGTGTATTAAGTTTTTGGATTTTGGGCCCCGTTTTTAAATTGGTCCACATTGAGGTCCAAAGGGTCCAAAATTTAACTTTGTTTGATTTCATCAAAAATTGAATTATTGGGGTTCTTTGATATGCCGAATCTAACCGTGTATTTAGATTCTTAATTTTTGGTTCCGTTTTCAAATTGGAGTACATTAAGGTCCAAAGGGTCCAAAATTAAACTTAGTTTGATTTAAACAAAAATTGAATGTTTAGTGTTCTTTGATATGCTGAATCTAAACATGTATTTAGAATTTTGATTATGGGCCCAGTTTTCAAGTTGGTCCAAATCGGGGTCCAAAATTAAACTTTGTTTGATTTCAACAAAAATTGAATATATGGGGTTCTTTGATATGCTGAATCTAACCATGTATTTAGATTTTTGGGCCCCGTTATCAACTGCACAGTATGGCACATTAGATTTGTAAAATCTTTGACCACATTTATTTATTTGTTATGCCGAATCTAACGATGTATTTAGATTTTTAATTTTGGATCCAGTTTTCAAATTGGTCTGTCTACATTAAGGTCCAAAGGGTCCAAAATAAAAATTTGTTTGATTTTAACAAAAATTGAATATATGGGGTTCTTTGATATGCTGAATCTAAACATGTATTTAGATTTTTGATTTTTGGCCCAGTTTTCAAGTTGGTCCAAATTTGGGTCCAAAATTAAACTTTGTTTGATTTCAACAAAAATTGAATATATGGAGTTCTTTGATATGCTGAATCTAACCATGTATTTAGATTTTTTATTTGTGGACCCCGCTATCAAATTGGTTCATATTGAGGTCAAAAGGGTCCAAAATCAAACTTTGTTTGATTTCATCAAAAATTGAATTCTTGGGGTTCTTTGATATGCCAAATCTAACCGTGTTTTTAGATTTTTAATTTTGGGTCCCGTTTTTTAAATTGGTCTACATTAAGGTCCAAAGGGTCCAAAATTAAACTAAGTTTGATTTTAACAAAAATTGAATTCTTGGGGTTCTTTGATATGCTGAATCTAAACATGTGTTTAGATTTTTGATTATGGGACCAGTTTTCAAGTTGGTCCAAGTTGGGGTCCAAAATTAAACTTTGTTTGATTTCAACAAAAATTGAATATATGGGGTTCTTTGATATGCTGAATCTAAACATGTATTTAGATTTTAGATTTTTGGCCCAGTTTTCAAGTTGGTCCAAACTGGGGTCCAAAATTAAACTTTGTTTGATTTCAACAAAAACTGAATATATGGGGTTCTTTGATATGCTGAATCTTACCATGTATTTAGATTTTTTATTTGTGGGCCTGCTATCAAATTGGTTCACATTGAGGTCAAAAGGGTCCAAAATTAAACTTTGTTTGATTTCATCAAAAATTGAATTCTTGGGGTTCTTTGATATGCTGAATCTAACCATGTATTTAGATTTTGGATATTGGACCATAATATGTGAATGTCCAATTTAAAATTTTTAATATAAGTTCTTAGACCACATTCATTCTGTGTCAGAAACCTATGCTGTGTCAAATATTTAATCACAATCCAAATTCAGAGCTGTATCAAGCTAGAAAGTTGTGTCCATACTTGCCCCAACTGTTCAGGGTTCGACTTCTGCGGTCGTATCAAGCTGCGCCCTGCGGAGCATTTTATTTATACATTGGAATGACATTGGTGTTGTCGTCGTCCAAAGACCCATTGGTTTTCACACTCTAACTTTAGTTAAAGTGAATGGATCTCTATGAAATTTCACCATAAGGTTCAATACCACAAAAGGAAGGTTGGCATTGATTTTGGGGGTTATGGTACCAACAGTTAAGGAATTAGGGGCCAAAAATAAGCATTTTTGTAACTTTCAGACATAACTTGTGTGTTAGTGTATGGATCTCTCTGACATTGTACCACAAGGTTACATACCACAAAGGGAATGCCCGGATTGATTTTGGGGGTAATTGCCTCGCAATTTGAGGAATTAGGGGCAAAAAACAAGCATTTTTCTAGTTTCATGACAATAACTTGTGTGTAAACGTATGGATCTTTCTGAAATTGTACTACAAGGTTCCATATCACAAAGGGAAAGCTGGAATTGAGTTCGGGGGTAATTGCCTGAAACGTTTAGGAATTGGGGGCCAAAAAGGGGCCAAAAATAAGCATTTTTCTAGTTTCAAGACAATAACTTGTGTTCAAGTGTATGGATCTCTCTGAAATTGTACTGCAAGGTACCATACCACAAAGGGAAGGCTGGGATTGAGTTTGGGGGTGATGAATCATAAGGGGGTTCAAAAAATTTGGGGGGGGGGGATTTTTTTTTTTTTCTTTTTTTTTTCTTTTTTTCCTTTTTTTTTTCTTTTAAAATTTTCCATTTTAAGTTGGTTATTTCTGATTTATATATAAAAGCAAATAATAATGATATTGTAGGAGATACACACCAAACAGGATGTGTAAATTTTTATATAATAAGTATTGTGCAATAGCAAGAAATTTTCAATTGCACAGTATTGCACAATAGCAAGAAATCTTCAATTGCACAGTATTGCGCAATAGCAAGAAATCTTCAATTGCACAGTATTGCGCAATAGCAAGAAATATCCAATAGCACAATATTGCGCAATAGCAAGAAATTGTCAATTGTACAGTATTGCGCAATAGCAAGAAATATTCAATTGCACAGTATTGTGCAAAAGAAGATACTTCTTATAAATTGCTTATTTCTTGATCAATTTCAATGGGGTTTTATTCTTGAATTCTTGGGGTTCTTTAATATGATGAATATAACCGTGTATTAAGTTTTTGGATTTTGGGCCCCGTTTTTAAATTGGTCCACATTGAGGTCCAAAGGGTCCAAAATTTAACTTTGTTTGATTTCATCAAAAATTGAATTATTGGGGTTCTTTGATATGCCGAATCTAACCGTGTATTTAGATTCTTAATTTTTGGTTCCGTTTTCAAATTGGAGTACATTAAGGTCCAAAGGGTCCAAAATTAAACTTAGTTTGATTTAAACAAAAATTGAATGTTTAGTGTTCTTTGATATGCTGAATCTAAACATGTATTTAGAATTTTGATTATGGGCCCAGTTTTCAAGTTGGTCCAAATCGGGGTCCAAAATTAAACTTTGTTTGATTTCAACAAAAATTGAATATATGGGGTTCTTTGATATGCTGAATCTAACCATGTATTTAGATTTTTGGGCCCCGTTATCAACTGCACAGTATGGCACATTAGATTTGTAAAATCTTTGACCACATTTATTTATTTGTTATGCCGAATCTAACGATGTATTTAGATTTTTAATTTTGGATCCAGTTTTCAAATTGGTCTGTCTACATTAAGGTCCAAAGGGTCCAAAATTAAAATTTGTTTGATTTTAACAAAAATTGAATATATGGGGTTCTTTGATATGCTGAATCTAAACATGTATTTAGATTTTTGATTTTTGGCCCAGTTTTCAAGTTGGTCCAAATTTGGGTCCAAAATTAAACTTTGTTTGATTTCAACAAAAATTGAATATATGGAGTTCTTTGATATGCTGAATCTAACCATGTATTTAGATTTTTTATTTGTGGACCCCGCTATCAAATTGGTTCATATTGAGGTCAAAAGGGTCCAAAATCAAACTTTGTTTGATTTCATCAAAAATTGAATTCTTGGGGTTCTTTGATATGCCAAATCTAACCGTGTTTTTAGATTTTTAATTTTGGGTCCCGTTTTTTAAATTGGTCTACATTAAGGTCCAAAGGGTCCAAAATTAAACTAAGTTTGATTTTAACAAAAATTGAATTCTTGGGGTTCTTTGATATGCTGAATCTAAACATGTGTTTAGATTTTTGATTATGGGACCAGTTTTCAAGTTGGTCCAAGTTGGGGTCCAAAATTAAACTTTGTTTGATTTCAACAAAAATTGAATATATGGGGTTCTTTGATATGCTGAATCTAAACATGTATTTAGATTTTAGATTTTTGGCCCAGTTTTCAAGTTGGTCCAAACTGGGGTCCAAAATTAAACTTTGTTTGATTTCAACAAAAACTGAATATATGGGGTTCTTTGATATGCTGAATCTTACCATGTATTTAGATTTTTTATTTGTGGGCCTGCTATCAAATTGGTTCACATTGAGGTCAAAAGGGTCCAAAATTAAACTTTGTTTGATTTCATCAAAAATTGAATTCTTGGGGTTCTTTGATATGCTGAATCTAACCATGTATTTAGATTTTGGATATTGGACCATAATATGTGAATGTCCAATTTAAAATTTTTAATATAAGTTCTTAGACCACATTCATTCTGTGTCAGAAACCTATGCTGTGTCAAATATTTAATCACAATCCAAATTCAGAGCTGTATCAAGCTAGAAAGTTGTGTCCATACTTGCCCCAACTGTTCAGGGTTCGACTTCTGCGGTCGTATCAAGCTGCGCCCTGCGGAGCATTTTATTTATACATTGGAATGACATTGGTGTTGTCGTCGTCCAAAGACCCATTGGTTTTCACACTCTAACTTTAGTTAAAGTGAATGGATCTCTATGAAATTTCACCATAAGGTTCAATACCACAAAAGGAAGGTTGGCATTGATTTTGGGGGTTATGGTACCAACAGTTAAGGAATTAGGGGCCAAAAATAAGCATTTTTGTAACTTTCAGACATAACTTGTGTGTTAGTGTATGGATCTCTCTGACATTGTACCACAAGGTTACATACCACAAAGGGAATGCCCGGATTGATTTTGGGGGTAATTGCCTCGCAATTTGAGGAATTAGGGGCAAAAAACAAGCATTTTTCTAGTTTCATGACAATAACTTGTGTGTAAACGTATGGATCTTTCTGAAATTGTACTACAAGGTTCCATATCACAAAGGGAAAGCTGGAATTGAGTTTGGGGGTAATTGCCCAAAACGTTTAGGAAAAAGGGGCCAAAAATAAGCATTTTTCTAGTTTCCAGACAATAACTTGTGTTCAAGTGTATGGATCTCTCTGAAATTGTACTGCGAGGTACCATACCACAAAGGGAAGGCTGGGATTGATTTTGGTGGTAATTGCCTCAAAATTTCAGGAATTAGGGGCAAAAAAGGGGCAAAAAACAAGCATTTTTCTTGTTTCAGGACAATAACTTGTGTATAAGTGTATGAATCTTTATGAAATTGTACTACAAGGTTCCATATCACAAAGGGAAAGCTGGGTTTGAGTTTGGGGGTAATTGCCCAAAACGTTTAGGAATTTGGGGCCAAAAAGGGGCCAAAAAAACAAGCATTTTTCTAGTTTCCAGACAATAACTTGTGTTCAAGTGTATGGATCTCTATGAAAATGTACTGTAAGGTACCATACCACAAAGGGAAGGCTGGGAATGAGTTTGGGGATGATGAATCAAAAGGGGGTTCAAAAAATTGGGGGGGGGATTTTTTTTTTCCTTTTTTTCCTTTTTTTTCTTTAAAATTTTCCATTTTAAATTGGTTAATTCTGATTTATATATAAAAGCAAATAATAATGATATGGTTTGAAAAGGTAAATTAAAATTTTTTAAGTTCTTAGACCACATTCATTCTGTGTCAGAAACCTTTGCTGTGTCAAATATTTAATCACAATCCAAATTCAGGGCTGTATCAAGCTTGAATGTTGTGTCCATACTTGACCCAACTGTTCAGGGTTCGACCTCTGCGGTCGTATCAAGCTGCGCCTAGCAGAGCATTTTATTTTTAAAATTGGAGTTATCTTCCTTTGTTCCTGATTATAGTTGAATCAACTACAATCAATGCTTTATACAATGCAATGTTTAATTTTGACTTCCACTGATAAAACACAGATCAAGTTGAATTTGGGTAGTGCCACTTTAACCAATATTGAGTAATGCCCCTTTATAAATCGAAAGATTGCAAAAATTTTAGTTTCCATTCTGTAACTAAAGTTTGCCCCAACCAAACATTATAAAAACCTATACACAATATTCATTACCACAAAACTAAGATCAAGTACAAATTTTTTGTTTCCGTTTTCTAACTAAGTTTGCCTCAACCAAATGTTATGAAACTTATACACAATGCTTATTACTACATAATACAGATTAAGTACGAAATTTGGTGGCGACACTTTTACCATTCTTGAGTTATGTCCCTTTATAAACATAAAAATTGCTGAATTTTTTAGTTTGTCTCAACTAAATGTTATAAAACTTATACACAACCGTTCTAGAGTTATGCATGTTTACAAATAGAAAAATTGCTGAATTTTTAGTTTCTGTTCTCTACTTAAGATAGCCTCAACCAAATGTTAAGAGACTTACACACAATGCTTATTACCACAAAACTCAGATCAAGTTTGAATTTTGGTGGCGTCACTTTTACTGTTCTAGAGTTATGCCCCTTTATAAATGGAAAAATTGCAAAATTTTTCATTTCCGTTATCTAACTTAAGTTTGCCCCTACCAAATGTTATGAAACTTATACACAATGCTTATTACCACAATGCACAGATCAAGTTTGAATTTTGGTGGTGTCACTTTTACTGTTCTAGAGTTATTCCCCTTTATAAATGGAAAAATTGCTACATTTTTCATTTTTTTTTTTTCTAAAAATATCAATAATATCATTGTTCAAGTAATTTTTAAAATTGGAGTTATCTTCCTTTGTCCATGATTATAGTTGAATCAACTACAATCAATGCTTTATACAATGCAATGTTTAATTTTGCCTTCCACTGATAAAACACAGATCAAGTTGAATTTGGGTAGTGTAACTTTAACCATTATTGAGTTATGCCCCTTTATAAATCGAAAAATTGCAAAATTTTTAGTTTCCGTTCTGTAACTTAAGTTTGCCCCAACCAAACATGAAACCTATACACAATACTTATTACCACAAAATTAAAATCAAGTACAAATTTGCGTAGCGTCACTTTTATTGTTCTTGAGTTATGTCCCTTTATAATGTTGTATGCAAGCGGGGGCACATTCTCCATTTATTTTTGTCTACGTCAAGGCGAGACAAAAAGTGAAAAGCAATTATTTGCCAAGATCTCTCTGAGGCGTTAATATTGTAAATAAGAGGGCACTTCGAATTATCATACTATACCCATTGGAAGTATTATATTTCATTAATACTTTCATGCTATACTGTAGTGATGTTTTGTTTGTGTTCAAAGTTTAGTTTGTTTACAAGTTTATTGCTTTCTTGATATTTAATGCATTGGGTTGAAATTAGGACAGTTCTGATACAGCAGTTTTATTACTGAAAAATCATTGCAAAACAAAAATTAGTGCACAATGACAAATAAAAAAAACTTTTGAGTCCTAAATCCTAATCTACCATTTCTGTCATTCACCTTTCAGATTAGGCCATGTGTGGCAAATATGACTGGTCATAAGCATAATACAGTTTTATCATATATTATTTTACCCCATGCTACAAAGTACAAGTGTATAATGTTTTGGACACTTCAGTCTGTCATACACCCATTCGTCTCTGTCTGACAGTCAACTTTGCTTTCTAGATGATATCTGAAGAACCTTACTTTTGGTTGGAACTTAACTTGGGTGTATAAAAATGAGAAGATGTGGTATGATTTCCAATGAGACAACTATCAACCAGAGACTAAATGACGTCAATGTAAGCAACTACAGGGTCACTATGGCATTCAACAATGAGCAAAACCCATACCGCATAGCAAGCTTTTAAAAAAAAGGCCCCCGACAGACAAAGTGTAAAACAATTTCAACATGAAAACTACCGGCCTGATATATGTACAATACAAAAAACGAAAATGAACAAAAATGATACACAACAACTTATTACAACCACTGAATTACAGGCTCATGATTACGAGGGGCACATACAGAATGTAGCAGGGTTAAACAAGTTTACCAACATAATACCAGACAGATTCCTTTACGGGTTTGAGATTTATGTCGTAATTAGTTACAAAGTAGTTCAGAAATCAGTTTTTCGGTTGGTAAATCAATTACCTTCTTTTGGATTGCAACCAAATTGGTAGATTTTATGAGAGGAAGAATAATTATATTGATTTTGAAGTCAAAGAGATCCATGGTCATGATGATCAAGATCACAATTACTGAAAAAAAATCAAATTATTTAAGAAAAGAGTCTTTGGACGATAATTTAAGAAAATGACTTGTGATTAGAACCAAACTTGGGTATATGATCACATACACATAGAGAAATATAAAAATAAGGAGATGTGGTATGATTGCAAATGAGACAACTATCCACCAGAGTTCAAATGAGGTGGACGTAAGTAATTATAGGCCATCATACAGCCTTCAACAATAAGGAAAAACTCATACCGTATTGTCTGTTATAAAAAGCCTGACATGAAAAATGTGAAACAATTCAAATGAGATAACTAACAACCTAATTATTAACAAAAACAATTTACAAAAAACAAATTATGAAATTTTAACCAACGACAACCACAGAACTACAGGCTCCAGAATTGGGCTAGGCACTCGAGGGTTGACAACTCTAACTTAATCTGGGGCAGTGTAACAGCACAATATATAAACAAACCATAAAAATTAGTTGCAATTGGCTCAACTCAAGATGTACAAGATAAAAAAACAACCAACATAAAAACAATAGACACAAAGCACCGACATAAGAGTACTCGCAGTTACTGAAAGTTCAAAGCTAATTACAACTAATAAATGCATCATGTTCTCACAGACTAAAGTATCAATTAGTACACATTCATGGGATTCAGTGTAAAGACGTAATAAACAGTATTGAAAAACATTATATTTAGTTATGTTTTAATTTTTCAAAAACAAAATCAATGTCAGAACCGACCAAAACAATATCAAAATTTAGGGGCTTTATAAACAATTTCACGTAAAAACTAGGCTGTGATATCCTGTTTTTAATAATAATGACCGCTATTGATTTTGAGATCAAGGTCGTCAATAGTCTGAAACTGGCACAGGATATAGTTTTTTGGCTGATAAATCAACTACTTTGGGATAGAAACCTAATTGAGACAAATGGTTATAGAAAGGATGATTTTAATGTCAATACATTGAAGGTCATTGACATGGTTTCTAAAAATTGTAAACATTTTTGCAAAATAAAAAATTTCGAATGATAAATTGAATCTATCAGATTGGATCATAACAACTATGACTTTAAATGCTTTTATTGATTTTTCTATCTCGCTACTGCTCAAATGGACTGAGTGAGAAATTGCCATCACTTGACCTCTGTCATACTTGACCCTTGTTACCTTCTATTTTATACTTTTTTATACGACCGCAAAAAAATTTTTGTGGTCGTATATTGGTATGACGTTGGCGTCGTCATCGTCGTCGTCGTCCGGCGTCGTCGTCCGAAGACGCATTAGTTTTCGCACTCTAACTTTAGTTTAAGTGAATGGATCTCTATGAAATTTTACCATAAGGTTCAATACAACAAAAGGAAGGTGGGGATTTATTTTGGGGGTTATGGTACCAACAGTTAAGGAATTAGGGGCCAAAAATAAGCATTTTCTAGTTTCCAGACAATAACTGTGGAACGGTGTATGGATCTCTCTGAAATTATACTACAAGTTTCCATACGACAAAGGGATGGTTAGGATTTGCTTTGAGGGGTTATGGCTCAAACCGTTTAAGAATTAGGGGCAAAAAAGGGGGAAAAACAAGGTTGTCCTGGTTAATGGACAAATACTTTAGTACAAAACATAATTTAAAGCAGTGTAAGGGAGATAAATCAAATACATCATTGAAATTATCTCCCTTACACTGCTTTTAAATTATGTATAAAGTAATGGTTAATGAACAATTAAGATAATTTAAAACAGTGTAAGGGAGGTAATCCAAATACAACGTTTTGGTTACTTCCCTTACACTGCTTTTAAATTATGTTTAAAGAAATGCATATTTATAAAGGAAGACCAGTAAAAATATCTGCAAATGTTGCATCTTTTTTTTTTACAAAAAAATCCATATGAAAGATTTGACACTATATTTTAAATTCTATTATAAAATAGATTAAGTTAGCACTATGGTAAATTTAAATGGGTAATTATGGTTTGGGGGAAAAATGGGGGGGGGGGGGGGGGGGGGTAAAAAGAAATTGTGGGGGGTCAATTATTTCTCATTTCAGATTTCAGAAATTAAAAAGAATTATTCTTCAATTATTTTTTTTTTCAAATTTCAAATATTGAAAAATTTCAAGAAGTAATCTTTAATTGCACAGTATGGTACATTAGATTTGTAAAATCTTTGACCACATTTATTTATTTGTTATGCCGAATCTAACGATGTATTTAGATTTTTAATTTTGAATCCAGTTTTCAAATTAATCTACATTAAGGTCCAAAGGGTCCAAAATTAAAATTTGTTTGATTTTAACAAAAATTGAATATATGGGGTTCTTTGATATGCTGAATCTAAACATGTATTTAGATTTTTGATTTTTGGCCCAGTTTTCAAGTTGGTCCAAATTGGGGTCCAAAATTAAACTTTGTTTGATTTCAACAAAAATTGAATATATGGGGTTCTTTGATATGCTGAATCTAACCATGTATTTAGATTTTTTATTTGTGGACCCCGCTATCAAATTGGTTCATATTGAGGTCAAAAGGGTCCAAAATCAAACTTTGTTTGATTTCATCAAAAATTGAATTATTGGGGTTCTTTGATATGCCAAATCTAACCGTGTTTTTAGATTTTTAATTTTGGGTCCCGTTTTTTAAATTGGTCTACATTAAGGTCCAAAGGGTCCAAAATTAAACTAAGTTTGATTTTAACAAAAATTGAATTCTTGGGGTTCTTTGATATGCTGAATCTAAACATGTGTTTAGATTTTTGATTATGAGCCCAGTTTTCAAGTTGGTCCAAGTTGGGGTCCAACAAAATTAAACTTTGTTTGATTTCAACAAAAATTGAATATATGGGGTTCTTTGATATGCTGAATCTAAACATGTATTTAGATTTTAGATTTTTGGCCCAGTTTTCAAGTTGGTCCAAACTGGGGTCCAAAATTAAACTTTGTTTGATTTCAACAAAAACTGAATATATGGGGTTCTTTGATATGCTGAATCTTACCATGTATTTAGATTTTTTATTTGTGGGCCCGCTATCAAATTGGTTCATATTGAGGTCAAAAGGGTCCAAAATTAAACTTTGTTTAATTTCATCAAAAATTGAATTCTTGGGGTTCTTTGATATGCCAAATCTAACCGTGTATTTAGATTTTTAATTTTGGGTCCCGTTTTTTAAATTGGTCTACATTAAGGTCCAAAGGGTCCAAAATTAAACTTAGTTTGATTTTAACAAAAATTGAATTTTTGGGGTTCTTTGATATGCTGAATCTAAACATGTATTTAGATTTTTGATTATGAGCCCAGTTTTCAAGTTGGTCCAAGTTGGGGTCCAACAAAATTAAACTTTGTTTGATTTCAACAAAAATTGAATATATGGGGTTCTTTGATATGCTGAATCTAAACATGTATTTAGATTTTAGATTTTTGGCCAAGTTTTCAAGTTGGTCCAAATTGGGGTCCAAAATTAAACTTTGTTTGATTTCAACAAAAATTGAATATATGGGGTTCTTTGATATGCTGAATCTTACCTTGTATTTAGATTTTTTATTTGTGGGCCCGCTATCAAATTGGTTCATATTGAGGTCAAAAGGGTCCAAAATCAAACTTTGTTTGATTTCATCAAAAATTGAATTATTGGGGTTCTTTGATATGCCAAATCTAACCGTGTTTTTAGATTTTTAATTTTGGGTCCCGTTTTTTAAATTGGTCTACATTAAGGTCCAAAGGGTCCAAAATTAAACTTAGTTTGATTTTAACAAAAAATGAATTCTTGGGGTACTTTGATATGCTGAATCTAAACATGTGTTTAGATTTTTGATTATGGGACCAGTTTTCAAGTTTGTCCAAGTTGGGGTCCAAAATTAAACTTTGTTTGATTTCAACAAAAATTGAATATATGGGGTTCTTTGATATGCTGAATCTAACCATGTATTTTGATTTTGGACATTGGACCATAATAGGTAAATTAAAAAAATTGAAGTTCTTAGACCACATTCTTTCTGTGTCAGAAACCTATGCTGTGTCAAATATTTAATCACAATCCAAATTCAGAGCTGTATCAAGCTTGAATGTTGTGTCCATACTTGCCCCAACTGTTCAGGGTTCGACCTCTGCGGTCGTATCAAGCTGCGCCCAGCGAAGCATTTTATTTAATCCTCTTAAACCTCTGAAATATTTCAACTAAATTTGGTCCAATTTATTCTAAGGTTATCTAGTACAATGTCAAAGTTCTTGAACTTTTTTTGTCCCCGCAAACCATCATTGCCAAAATACAACATTGGTGGTAAAATGCCTACCAGGAATAAAGTAAATTGTATACACACAAACATTTCCTATGTGGTATTTGTTATCAACCTACATATGCATATAATATTTGATGCTGGTTTGAAAGCAGATTACTGAGATTATATAACTTAGAACCTGCCAAAGTCATGATTTCTTATAACTATGTTTAATACTTTTTAAGAATGCAACAAAAATGGATCCCATTGATAATAAGCCGTATGGCTTTCAATGGCAATCATGATTTTGGTATGATCAATTGTTTTAAGATTTTATGATTTTAGTATGTTTATATGTATGCTACTGGTTTTATTCTACTTTTGTAATGTTTGATATTGATATTTAATCATATGAATCTATCTAATTTATACATTCACCTAAAGATATCTAAAAATGGTCATCGCAACCAAGCTCTATGTTGCTTAGGAACCCTTGCAAAAACTCTTCATAGGGATCCATAGGTGACCTGTTGCAAGGCAAAATGTCTGCCCCTTTCCTAACTTACTATAATTCTCGAGTGACAGTCCAAATTTCCCGCTCTTCGTCCTGGTCGACCTACCTTGCAGAACCTGCCTATTATATTAATTGTCCGTCTATGCATGATATATTTGCCACTGGACAATAAAACAAGCAACAATCAATCAATTGATCCTTTACTATGTAACGCTATACCAATCATCGAATATATTATAGCTTAACATGCATAACGGTCTGAACTCAGAAGCTTGTAATAGTATTAATCACGAGTTACTTATGCAATATAATACTGCGTACATTTAAAGTGCTTATTAACGATCATTTTCTTCGCGGTTGGCGAAACTAATTTAGTATACTCGTAATTCAAGTAAAATTTAAATATATTTAGCACTAAAAACTAATATTTCATTTTTCATTAATGGGTGATGTTACATTGTTCTACCATGGACGTTTCAAGTTAGCCATGCCTTATACCAATCAGAACTGTCCTTATTTCAACCCAATGAATTTAATATCGAAAAAGCAATAAACTTGTAAACGGACTAAACTTTTAACACAAACAAAACACCACTAACGTTTGAAATCAGTTATGCAAACAGAAAGATAAAAATATACATTGCTTACGCTAGAATTACCTGATTAATAAAAATATACAGCTACAAAACATATATACATATACATGTAATTGCAATATATCCTGATTACACTAAGAATTGTGAATAACAAATTAAACTGAAATGTTAACTGATTTACAAGATAACACAACAGCTGCTGTTGGAGTTCTGACGTTGATAAGATGGTGTATTGTAGTTGTAAGATGGTTGATGTTGATATGACTGTTGTGTTGTTGGTTGATTGTATGTTACAGATGGTTGTTGATTATAGGTGATTGCTGGTCGTTGGTTTTGTGTTGGTTGTTGGTTATATGCTATGGCTGGTCGTTGGTTTTGCGTTGGTTGTTGGTGGTAATATGTCACAGCTTGATGATAATAAGCTGCAGTTTGTGGCCTATTTTGTACATATGACGGCTCTTCGTCTTCGTCGTCTTCTAGAAAGAACTTCATTGGTTCAATATAATTTCGATTTAACCACGCAACATTATAGAACATTATCTTCTTAACTGCCACCCTTTTCTCGCCCACTATGACCGACTCTGATGCAGCAAATGTCATAGTTTCTGCATTAATGTTGTAGAACTCATTGTCACGTCCAGCATTTGATTCTACGTCCTCATCGTGAAATAAACACTTCCCTGTCAGTGCCACAGGGTTTAATTTCGCACACAGAAGTAATAGTAAAACCTTTTCCTCGTCACTGAGCTCGAAAAAATTATAATAGTTAATAAGTCTCACAAGATTTGGCTCCTGTAAACTGAGAACAGTACACATGCAGTTCAAATAGTACATCAATCTTGCTAGAGGGTTTTCCGGGACTCCAACCGTTGTTGAAGTATTTTCAACACCAACCCTATTCCGATTGAACACGAGTGCCATAGTAGATGGTTGTGTTTTCTAGCGTTCAATTTCAAAATATCTTCAAATTGAAACAGGAAGTTTACTCATAAAAGTGTACAACTTCTAAGTAATCTTCGATAACTTCTTTTGGAATTTTGCCAAAACCGTAAAAATATATCTTTTATGATTTATTAAATTGCTTTTAAAATACTCCAGATTTTATCTGTCTAATTCATTTAAATCAAATTGAAATACAAGAATTTAAGGATAGTTTGCCCAATTATACTTGTTATATTTTTTGTTCTTTTCAAATTTTGAACTCAGTAAAACAGGAAGTATAAAACCAAACAACCTAGTTTAAGTTTAATACCTAGTTATTGCTTTAAATTTTTGTTTGCTGAACTATTTCGTTAACTGTCCATAATTAACTGATACGCGATACTAAATCATTAACTGTGTTCGTCCTATCGTTTCAGTGCGATCGTGTTTCTGGAATTAATATCATTGATTTTACTCGAGACAATAACATACGATTTGGAGGGTCAAAATTAAAATGTTATTCCATCTTGGTTTTTTTTCAATCGACTTTCCCAGCATTAATGAAAACACAATATTATATTGATCAAATTTCAACCAATCGAAACCCTCCAAAAACAACCCGGACAACTACATGAACATTTTGAAGATTCTCGCAAAAAAATATTGCGAACTATCTTGAATTAAACGACTACATACACTATATCCCCTCGGTCTTGATGTCAATATAATGGGCCAGGGGACCGTATCTACAACTTCCTCGGTTGATATCCTGAAAATTGTAGATAAAAACAACGTAATCATAGGTCTGATTGCAAATATGAATATCGTGAATATTCGCATATCTCATTTCGGAAATAATTTAGTAATTAAAAACTTGAGGGAATTAGTAAAACGCCCATTTCAAAGATTAAAAACAAACTTCAAGTACTTGCAAAACGTTCTGTGTCCGTACCGGGCCGACAAAGCAGCCAACAATGTGGTAGTGGTACATGTATGATGATAATACTACATGAAATTCTCATAAAGGGAATTGTGAATTATTTTACATTTAAGGCTGTGCGCCCCACAAAGATTCAACTAGTAAACAATTATGTCAGTACCAAATCTTAGCTTGTGGCCTCCTCTAAAAATTTGAAGGTACATACTTTGTATTGGCTTCCTAAACTACACCCAGAAAAACCTTCAAAGTTCAGCTTCTAGTAAGTCTTCTACTTCTAACATGTCTTTGATTTTAACTTATTCCCTTACTAAAATTAAAGAACTTGTATTAACTTTTGTAACAAAGCATATGTAACTAAGTTATTTATGAAATAGATTATTTTTGGAGTGTAAAATACGCATTGGGTGTTTTAGGTAAATTATGTGTTTTTGATGGTACTTTAAATTCGATTTACAGGTTTGACTGTCCGACACTAGGGATATTACAAAATCGTCGAAATAATTTAGATTTTTTTTTCTGATTCTTTGATTTAATTCAGGGAATTTGGAAACTCTTTTCAAAATTATAATTTAGTACTACACTGGGTTTTTTTTCTACTTCTTTGAATTTGCTAAGACAACTGTGTTACTGGCCCAACATACTAAACATTAGACGAACATTTTAATAAGCAGGTCCCCATCAGGAGAAAAGGAAGACCAATTTGGCTATATGTTTATCTTGTGTTCACTTACTGTTCTTGGATTTAGAAACATTTAATATCACCTTAACTAGCAAGGAAGCACACAAGATAACCAGATGGTGTTATCCCCAGCCTAGGGCAGTCTTGCGTCAAGAAAATGGTGTGCTATATTGCTTGAATGTGAAACTATCGATCTGAAATGATTTTCTCATGGATTTTGTTAAGAATGTGATACTGTAATACCTTGAAAAAAGATGTCATTTCACTTTACCCGGTTTATCAGGATGTTCAAGTTATACGTAGTTATCCTGTTCCGAAGGAGGGGCGTCCCGTAAATTCTCTGCGCATGTTTCTCATAAATAACCAATCAGAGCTTCCTGAAATTTGGTAGCAAGCTTTATGGTAGCATGCTATTGTTTGGTGCGATTCATCCCAAATCAACTTAATGAATACTGAATATTCACATATTCTTACACATTTTTACCAGGAACAAAAAATCAAGACTTTCTGAAATTTGGAACCAAGCTTCAGGTTTTAAAAATAAGGAGATGTGGTATGATTGCTAACGAGACAACTATCCACCAAAGTTCAAATGAAGTTGATGTAAGCAATTATAGGCAACCGTACTGCCTTCAACAACGAGAAAACCCCATACCGTATGGTCGGCTATAAAAGGCCCCGACATGAAAAATACGAAACAATTCAATTGAGAAAACTAACGGCCTAATTAATAACAAAACAATTTACGAAAAACAAATATGACAGACATGAACCAACGACAACCACTGAACTACAGGCTCCTGACTTGGGACAGTTACATAAAGAATGTGGCGGAGTTAAACATATTTGTGAGCGCTCAACCACCCTCCCTAACCTGGGACAGTGGTGTAACAGTACAACATAAGAACAAACTAAAACAATCAATTGAAAAGGCTTAACTCATCAGATGGATACAAATGGAAATATATCTAACAAAAACACAGAGTGGACGTGGACGGGTACTTATACATTCCAAAAACAAAAAGACACGAAGTACAGATCTGAGAGTACTCGCAGTTACTGACACCTAGTTCAAAGCCAATAACAACTAATGTAAAAAATCATGTATCTAAGACTAAAATATCAATCATTACACATCCAACATCCAATGGATTTAGTATGAAGACGTCATTAACAGTCAGGGGAAAACATTACCTTGTGCAATGCCAAACTATAGGTATCGACAGATTGTAGTACCGTGAAAATACATATGTATAAGATTTAGTATGGTTTTAATTTACTGATAACAAAATCAATATTTATGCCAATAAAAACAATATTCAAGGTTGAATAGGTAACCTTTTAGAATAAGTTTATCAAAAGGATTGATAAGTTTACCCGGATTGTATCTAAATTTCCGGGCTCGGTTTATAATATCATCGTAAAATTTAGGATGTGCTATTCCGTTTGAAATAAGTTTTCTACAGGTACAGCCAAACTTGCAGACCAAATCTTTGTATCTATGAAAGAATTTAGTAAAGGTTTTAAGTAATTTGTGGTAACGAAATCCCTGACTTAATAATTTACTAGTAATACATAGATTACGCTCATTAAAATCCAAAACGTCACTACAGACACGAGCACAGCGAACGAGTTGGGATATAAAAAATGCAAAAGTAACATCACCGTCCAAAAAGGGAAAATTAACAACAGGGAAAGAAAAATCATCCCTTTTGTCGTAAATTTTTGTGTAGAGTTTCTAGTGTAATACTGAAATATCCAAGTCTAGGAAAGGACATGCAGTTATATATTGCTGTTGATATTAGATTTATTTAAAGTAAGTTCCTTTTGGGTAAATTTCAGCAGTATAGTTAGAGAATTCTCGATTATTTAACAAAAAAACATCATCAAGATAACGGCAAGTGTTGTTGAATTTATCAATTAAATGGAATTTTAGACGGTTCTTTACTGAGTTTTGCCATAAATTGTGATTCATAACAGTAAAGGAACAAGTCTGCTATTAAAGGGCACAATAGCATGGTATATTGTGTACGTTTTTTTTTCAATTTCATCCATCCCTCATTTCTTTAGCGGGGTATCATTAGTGAGCAATAGCTCACAGTTAAAACTTCCTATTAAAAATGTGCACAAGATCAGCGCTTTTACAAAACTATAAAGTTTTAAAAAGCAATTAACGTTTATTATAATTACATTTGTACGCTATGTTCACCATGACATTCAGAATAAAATCCGCCTTTTTGTTAGTTTTCGTTTGCATTATTGTAACACTGTCATGGTGAGCACATGCATTCGTAGATGTTGCATTTCATTTAAGAATTGAATGCTTCTTTTTGTAAATCTATTCGGGTGTAGAAGCGTTGACCGAAGTACATTTTGTATGCGCTTCATTCTAAAAATGTGCGCACGGTCAACGCTTTTACAACCCTATAAAATTACTAAAAGAAGCATTCAATTCTTATAATTACATTTTTTTGCTAGGATCATGAAAACACGATTTCTATCAAGTTTTTCATTTGTTTACATGTGCACTTTATTGTGGAAGCTCGTGTCGTCATGAATGTTATATTTCATTTTGAAATGAAGGTTGATTTTAGAATGACGCGAGATTGCTGTTAGCCAATCAAAATAACGTATTATAATGAAACATACATGTAATGTAATTGTTTCCTAATACTTTGTTAAAGCGTTGACCCTGCGCACATTTTTAGAATGAAGCGCTTGCGCGCTTCATACAAAATGTACTTCGGTCAACGCTTTTACACCCCAATAAATTTACAAAAAGAAGCATTCAATTCTTTAATGAAACATCACTTAGGAATGCCTCGTGATTGTTGACTGCCCATGAAAATAAAATAAAAATGACACATCTATGTAATGTAATATTTCATTATAAAAAATACATGTTTATAGGTTTTCTGACTTTTAGCAAAATAATAATTTGACACCGCTAACCGCTTGCTATACAGCATAATCTTTAAACATAAATGCAAGTGTGAGTTGTCTGCTTCTTAGTATTAACTTCATTAATTACAACGCAAGAATTGTATACGTTGCAATAACTTATTTTCAACGAAGTGCATGATTAAACTATATTAATTTAAAAACGATATATTCTAATTTACAACGAAGTGTAACATGTTTCAATACTCTTTTCTTATTGTTCACTCTAGATGGTTATTTCGTTATATCCTACATTTTTCTATCGTTCCTTTTTTCATTATTAATTATAACTTCTTTATAGAATAATACAGGAGCAACACGAATTATGAGATTGAGAAACGTCATTCACTTTTTTCCATGACAGAGATCCCCCGTGTTTGTGACTATTTTTCTTGGTGCTTTCTATAAAATCTTTCCTATCGCTGTGCTGCACTGGTGATGAAGAGGTCCGTACGATTGATGCGTCAATAGTAGTTGCAGGTTTTCGGTGTTCATTAAGATGAGAATATAATGCATGAAAGTATTCCATAGGTTTATGATAAAATTTCTTTATCCAACTTTCTTTATAAAACATTACTTGTATTACTTTGATCTGAAGTTCACCTATTTCAATGTATTTGATTGGCTCAACAATTGTCTTAACAGAAAGTAGCGAAAAGAATTTAACATGTTCATCATCACACAATGCCTCGTTCTCGATAATACATTTATCTCGCATAACGTCTATTGAAAATAATCCACATAACATGAAAAGCGTTCTTTTTTCACCGTCTGTCAAATTGTAATAACTTCTGTAACTTCTAAGTTTCTGAATATTATATTCTATAAAGTCTAAATCTAACACCGAGCAAACACAGTCAAAATAATGCATTAACTGCGCAGTACAATTTTCCGGAATGGCAGTAGAATCAGGTTCTGTTCCAACTTTATTCGGACGAAATATTATAGGCATTTTTTAAATAATAATTTGAAATATTCCTTAGAATTGAAATCACATCAGTAAAATTGTCCTTTTGAATTCCACGAATACAACATTTCTGATGTATTTTCGACATATAAAAGTATTCAACTTTAAAACTTGAAATGTAAACAAATTTTCATATGAACGATTCCACATTTTCAACCTCTTAATGATTCTAATGAATACTTGATAAATACATTATTTAACCGAAATACACGTTTTTTAAAGTAATGAAATGAATACTATTGTGAAAATATTTTTTTGTGTAACAAGATTGATACAATGAATGATCATTATTAAATTTGATAATACCACTTTAACATGCAGTCGTGTGGATCAGTGATTACGAATGTTAACATGTACAATTTATTATATGCTTAACATATCGTTAAAATAATTTTTTTTTGTAAATGCCGTATGCTTCTTCAAATATTCGTTTAATAAACAAACAAAAACAAGGGTAAAAAGAAAAACAAAACAAAACAAAATAGCAATTACCTTTAGAATATTAACTTTGAAATAATGTGATGTTAGCCATAAAATCATATCCACTTATGTACTAATGTTACCTATACTAGTTACGAAGACAGAAAATACAGTTCTACAGCACAAGCTAACCATAAAAGGGCAGTATTCAATATTTCAACTTTTTATGGATGGGTGTCATTGGGATTTACATATACAATCAGTGGATGCCCTGCTGATGGACTGTTTGTCTCAAGGGACATCATTTTCACAGTATTCAATGTTTCAGCATTTTAGTAAAGGGTATCATTGTGATTTACTTTAAGTGGATCCACTTCAGATCGACTGTATATGCAAACGGGTATCATTTCTTATATAGTCAATGTTTCAGCTCTTTGTGGATGGGTGTCATTGTGATTTACTAACTTTTAGTTGATCCACTTCAGATCGAGTGTACGTCCAAAGGAGTGTCATTTCTTATATAGTCAATGTTTCAGCTCTTTATGGATGGGTGTCATTGTGATTTACTTTTAGTTGATCTACTGCAGATCGACTTCTTTTCTGAAGGGGATCATCTACCCAGTAGCCAGTGTTTCAGCTCTTTGTGGATAGGTATAACAATAGATCCACTGCTGGTGGCATAAATTCTCCCGAAGTCAGATGTTTCAGATTTCGTGGATTGATGTCATTATGATTTACATGTACAAGCAAAGCAGTGGATCAGCTGCTGACGTACTGTTTGTCTAAATGGGCATCATTTTCCTTTTAGTCAATATTTATGCTGTTTATGGATGGTTGTAATTGTGATTTTCTATCAGTTCCAATGGTATTCATCTTTCTATGAACTAATGCTTCAGCTGTTAAACTATTGGTTAAAATAGCTGTAAACTTAATGTACCATATGGGATCCTGTATAATTTGACATGATGCATTATCCACCAAAGATTGGGATAAGTTCGATATATGGATCAAAGATATTGTCATGAAACATAAATTTCCCTAATTTTCAGTTTGCGTTTATAGGTACTCTGGGCTTGACCTATGACCTATCAATAGGGTCTTTTTCTTTTGAAGTGGCAATCTCCAGCTTAGTTTGGTAAAAGTTGGATATGTGGTTCAAAAGAAAACATGTGAAAACCAAACTGTTGCCCAAATTGCCAAAACTATTTGGACCCTGACCTTTGGGCCAAAAATCAATATGAGGTATTAACAAACCAAGATTGGTAAAAGTTGGACATGCGATTTATAAATAATATTCAGATACCATAATTTTGCCTGTGTCCGTATATCAATAGCTGTGGTGACTTTGACCAGTGACCAGACTGCCTAATTATGGATTTTTCAAAGGCCTTCGATAAAGTAAGTCAGTCTACTAATACACAAACTGGATCACTATGGCATCAGAGGTAAAACCAACAAATGGATACAAAATTTCCTACTGACAGGAAACAAGTGGTAGTTGTACAAAGTGGAAAATCTGATACAATCAATGCAGAATCAGGCGTCCCACAAGGTTCAGTACTCGGACCCAGTTTGTTCCTTTTCTACATAAACGACATGCCAGAAGGTATTCGCTCAAGGGTTAGACTCTTTGCAGATGACACCATAGTATATCTGACCATAGCACCAGACGCAGACAGTGAGAATTTACAAGAGGACCTCAACAAACTAGCAATCTGGGAAACAAAATGGAAAATGGCCTTTCATTCCGATAAATGCAATGTACTAACAATTACAAGAAACGCAAACCTATTGTTAGAGCACATACTGCATGGCTACACCCTGGAACCTGTAAAATTTGCTAATTATCTATGTTGTACCATAAGCTCAGACTTGAAATGGAACGAACACACCAGAAACATCTGTAACGAAGCAAACAAGACCATTGGATTTCTGAAACGAAATCTCAACATCAACAACACCACTATAAAGAAAATGCATATAAATCCCTAGTCAGACCAACCTTGGAGTATGCATGCACAGTATGGGACCCTTTCCAACAGAACAACAAACACCGGCTGGAAATGGTACAAAGAAGAGCAGCAAGATACGTCACTAACAGATATCACAACACCTCATCTGTAATGTGACATGCTTACCCAACTCGAATGGAAAACCCTTGAAGATCGGAGAAAAGCAGCAAAACTTGCAATGATGTACCAACTTGCCAACGGGATGGTAAATGTTAATACAAAAGACACTCTCATTCCACCAGACAGAATATCCCTTAACTTAAACAGCAACGGTTTCCAATTTCCAACATGTAGAACAGAAGTGAGGAAAGAATCGTTCTATCCAAGAACAATAAGGGACTGGAACGCACTACCACTCACCACCACCAGTGCAGGTAGTCTTGAATGTTTCAAGAATTACCTACATGAGACGATTTAGACCACTGTCCAGGATGTTTTTAACCTCACTGTTACTGTATATAGAATGTATAGCACAAATTTTCACATTATTTTTATATAAAACATTTACATGCACATCCAAAAGTGGCAAAAAAATCAGTATATTGATGGTGGCCGCAAAATGGTAGAAGTAGAAGATAACTTCCTGAAACAATTTTTTTCTCCAAAATTTCAGTCTACCAATAGCTGGTCTAACTTGAACTTACCCCAAAGTCACTACAAATCTTTCTCTTTCCGTGGAGCATTAGCAAGCCAAGTTTGGAAAAGGTCTTTATTTCTTATGGCTCAAATGATTTTGTCCAAAAACCAAAATGTTGATGCTCCTGTATAAGGACCCTGGACAGTAGGTTGTAATTTTGCTTTGAACTAGTTTTCAATAACTGTGAGTACTTTTAGATTGGTAATTTATGTATGTTGTCTTTTTGTGCTTCAAGCTGATCTGATTAGTTCAGCCCTTTCCAACAGATTTTTAGTTTGTTCACAGTCCTAGATTAGGGATTGGGTGTAGGAGGGCTCCTAGCAAACATGAATAACCCCACCCCACCACATTCTGTATGTGACTGTATGATATATACAGCAAAAAAGACAACCATTGAATGTTACAGACTGTTATTCAGTGGTCGTTGTCTTTCACATTTGTTATTTATAGTTTACTATCCAGTATCTGTTTAGATCATTGATGAAGCCATACAGTGACCTTTAGTTGCTAACTGAGTAACATCCACATCACTTGGTCTCTGCTGAATAGTTGTGTCATTGACAATTATACCATATCTTCTTATTTTTATATATAATTAAGTAACGATGTAAAAAAGAAAACAGAATGAATAATGTCTTTGAAACAGACTATTAATACAATAAAAAAAATATTTATAGACCAAAGTTATATATGTTTAATACAATAAATAAATCAATAAATAAAACGTTAAAAGATATAACAAAACTAAAATAAATTGGTATGACAGATCAATAAGATATATAAAAAAGGCAACAATTTAAATAAAGGACTATACCCTGATGTAGCATAAAACATATTACACATCTACTGTGGATTCATTTATTTTTGCAGTACCAATTTTCATGGATTGAGGAAAACTTACTTATTTCTTGGATATTTGATTTCTGCATACATTCCTAAAAATAGTGTTTAACACCACTTTTAAGCACCGCTTTTGGGCTATTTCGTGGCGGCCAGTTTTTATTGGTGGAGGAAGCCAGAGTGCCCGGAGAAAACCACCGACCTTCGATAGAAAAACTGACAATCCTAGTCAATTAAGATTGGAGTCGAGTGCACCCGCACAAGCAGGGTTCGAACTCACAACCTCAGTGTTGACTGGCTAGTGATTACAGTAGTAACTACTTAGACCACTCGGCCACCGAGGCCCTCCTAAATCCAAGAAAATTAGTATCCAACAATTAATAATGAATCCACAACACTATTCACAAACTTTAATCTTGGTCCCAAAAAACTCAAATTGGTCAGATCTGCACCAGTATTTTCTCCCCTGGGATGAAGCGGGTCTTCATTCTTGTATTCTTCAATCTTTCAGGAATTTTTCCTTTTTTTTCAGCTTTGTCCATTTTGTCCATTCTGTATTATTTTTTCCCATATTTCTCTATTCTTTATTTTTATTAATTATTTATTCTGTTAACCTAGTAGTTCAGACCCTCTTTTGTTATTGTAGATTTAATTTGGATTAAGAGTTGCAGAATTTTGGAAAAGAATCAGATGAAGAACTTATATGGGAGACTTTCATATATCATTCCTGGTATTAATTCTAACTCTCATAGTAGGTCAGATAATATCATAAAACCGTGTCCAATGACGGTCTCATACTCAAGATGTTAGAATTGCTCAATGTGTCTCTAAGGGCCAAGAGAGCTAAAATACAAGTTTAGTGAATAAAATCTGAAAAAAACAACAGATTTATCTTTTTCCACTTTAAAGACTAGAATTCTGTTAAAGGTCAGTTAATATGACACCATCTCTAAATTTTTCTTGTGTGTAGTCAAAATAAAAATAGTTCAGTGAAAGCAGACCAGTAAAAATGCACTAACAAGCAATTGATAACAGACAATAGGCCTATACCAATACATAACATGTAAAAATTGGATAAATACAAATGATTTGAAAATATGTCAAAGGCATGAATCAAGATTTATAAGACCAGAAAAAAAAGCAAAGCTATGTTGGGTAACATGATAAGTAGCTTTGTCCTTATATACATGTGTATATCACCATACATATTGTAAATATATTGTACTATAAAATAAACTTTCACCAAGAGGAGTAACAATTTTTAGTTATATGGTTTAAGAAATATGACTAGGTAACAAATAACAGGAGCTGACACACTAAAATGTCTCTCCTGCTGTAATACTTGAATTATTCTAAAGTTTAATAAATTCTGAAAATAAGGTCAAGGTCAAATAAACATATCAGTTTCACATATCTTGGGATAGGAGTATATGTCCATCTGACATATATGTCATATGACTTTGACCATATTTCCATGATACAGTGGTCAAATGAAGTTAACATTAAATTTCAGGGATTTGATCTGTTCCTCAATAAGGGAGCTACCATTTGATTTTTATGGGGGGGGGGGGAATTCTAGGATGAAATTTGAAAAAAAAAACTAAGTCCATTTATAAGTAAAATACGGAAAAAATGGAACAAAATTTTTTTCAAAATTTCCTTCTAGATACTAGCTTTTAATCATAAACAAGCTTCTGTCCAAGTTTGGTACAAATCCAGGACAGTTTAAGAAAGTTGATAAAATTTTAAAAACTTTAACCACAGAGTGAATGTAATGTTAACTGGCAGAAAAACTAAGTCCATTTATAAGTAAAATACGGAAAAAATGGAATTTTTATTTTACAAAATTTACTTTTGAATATTATCTTATGATCATAAACAAGCTTCTGTCCAAGTTTGGTAGAAATCCAGGATAGTTTAAGAAAGTTATTAAAATTTCAAAAACTTTAACCACAGAGTGAATGTAATGTTTCCTGGCAGAAAAACTAAGTCCATTTATAAGTAAAATATGGAAAAAATGGAATTTTTATTTTACAAAATTTACTTTTGAATATTATCTTATGATCATAAACAAGCTTCTGTCCAAGTTTGGTAGAAATCCAGGATAGTTTAAGAAAGTTATTAAAATTTCAAAAACTTTAACCACAGAGTGAATGTAATGTTTCCTGGCAGAAAAACTAAGTCCATTTAGAAGTAAAATATGGAAAAAATGGAATTTTTATTTTACAAAATTTACTTTTGAATATTATCTTATGATCATAAACAAGCTTCTGTCCAAGTTTGGTAGGATCGCTATGTCTCGCTTTTTCGACAAAAGTCGAAGGTTTGACAAAAAAAGGCAGGATGACAATTTATGAAAAAAAAAACAGGATAAACTAATAAAAAAATTCGTAAGGGTTCCACGGAACCCAGTGTCTCGCCTACTTTTGCTGTTAATCGCAGGCTCAACAAAAATGAGGAAAAAAATCAATAAAAATATTCCTTTAGATACTATCTTTTGATTGTAAGAAGCTTCTGTCAAAGTTTGGTATAAATCCAGGATAGTTTATGAATCTAATAAATGTTTTAAAAACTTAAACTGCAGACTGTATTTAATGTTAAATGGAAGAAAAATTAAGTCCATTTATAAATAAAATACAGATAAACAGGTACGAAATTTTAACAAAATTTCCTTCTAGATACTAGCTTTTGATCATAAACAAGCTTCTGTCCAAGTTTGGTACAAATCCAAGATAGTTTAAGAAAGTTATTAAACTTTCAAAAACTTGAACCACAGAGTGAATGTATTGTTTCCTGGCGGAAAAACTAAGTCCATTTATAAGTAAAATACGGAAAAAATTAAAAAAAAAATTTAACAAATTTACTTCTTGATACTATCTTATGATCAAATACAAGTTTCTGTCCAAGTTTGGTACAAATCCAGGATAGTTTAAGAAAGTTGATAAAATTTTAAAAACTTTAACCACAGAGTGAATGTAATGTTTCCCGGCAGAAAAACTAAGTCATTTTATTTTTACAAAATTTACTTCTAGATACTATCTTATTACCATAAACAAGCTTCTGTCCAAGTTTGGTACAAATCCAGGATAGTTTAAGAAAGTTATAAAAATTTCAAAAACTTTAACCACAGAGTGAATATTTGTGGACGCCGCCGCAGACGATGCCAACGTAATGTAGGATCGCTATGTCTCGCTTTTTCGACTCAAGTCGAAGGCTCGACAAAAAAGGCAGTACAGAGATTACAACTAAAAAAAGTGCAGGACAAAAATTTTCATCCTAGCCCCCCCCATAAAAATCAAATGGTAGCTCCCTAACCATTGTTGCACAATAGGTCAACAATATTTTGGTATGTTGGTTTTTTTAAGGAGATGTCTAGACTATTTACATGTATATTAATTTTCAGGAATAGGTTTACTCCTCTTACAGTATATAAGCATGACATGTCATGTCTGGTTACTGAATCTTGAATTCATAATCTTACCACCATGGCTATATCTGTAGGTGAAGACCATATGATACTTGTCAGACAGACAAACATTGTTTACATCTTTATACAGTAAATCTACATCATACAAAGTGGTTGATCTGCCATTCACAATACCTGAGGAACAGACCTGATTCTTAAAAACAATTTACCTTAAGTAATTATGACAAATTTGATAACGAATGGCAAGTACAAAATGCCTCATCATGAACCTTCAACAAATTTTGATCTTTCAAAGTGAAAGTAGGGATAAGAATTTAAAGTTTTGCTTTTGTTAACACTGTTAACTTTGAAAAGTAATACCGTATAGAGGGTTATTTTCCTGGGTGTAAAATTTCGCGATTTGGGGGCAACAAAGTATACGAAAAATTTTGGCGGTTTTTATTTTGGTGGATTCTTAGATCCCAATTAAATATTTTGGTGGATACTGAAATTGTTGCATTTAAAAAGTTGTAAAACTTGACAAACAAGTGTCTATTGTTATGGTTGATTAATCATTTTTTTACCGAAATGACCTCTTATTTATTGATTAGTTTCTGATACAGTTAATCATAAGAATACCGCTAACTTAGATAATTATTTGTTACAGGTATTCAAACGTCTTGTAAATTTTACGATTGATTAGATTTGACCGGACCTTTGATGTACTTACTAATTAGGTTACAAAATTATCATGCGTGTTTACAACTCTTATATTGTTTGACACTAATTAATATGGGGTAATTACCTGATAAGAGTACCTTACACTCTTATTCTAATTGACACTTATTAATAAGGGTATACACACCTGACAGTCATTTTATAAAATACATTTATGTACAATGCCCTTTGGCATTTATCTTGTTAAAACTAACATATACCGTTATTGACCTGCCAACAGGGAAAAATATTTCGTTTACAAAATCCTTTAACCATGTAAACTTCGAAACTACCAAACGTATGCATAAATCTTTCGCGGAATTTATTATCGCGATTTTCGTTTATCCGCCAAAATAAGCGAAAATAAACACCCCGCGAAAATAACCCGCTATACGGTAATAAGTCTCTGACTCTCATTTTAACAACAATTGTAACCTGTATGACAACAGAGTTAATCCTTCAGCATAAGATAGTCTTTTAAAGTCCTAGGTATCTCCAATTTTGATATAGAGCTCAAAATTTCACATCCAAATGTGCATCTGCTAATGAAGTGATACCTAATGGAAGCTCTGCATAATCTTATTAATGATGGTGGCTCTTTACATATATCTCTCATCCACTGGTGAAACTGGTCTTGTTCAGGAGTTTTCCCTGGTAGATACATCCATGTTTCAGGGTAAAGATTCCATCCACTGTTAATCAAATATGTGCCGGCTTCAAAATATCCTGTCCACACCAACATACAAAGAGGAGAGTGTCTTGATGCTACACCAGAGCTAAAAAAGACAAGTGTAAAACTCAGATGAAACCAATAATAGTTCTTAAAGCAAAGATCTTAAGTGCATGTATAAATCAACAAGATTAAAGTTTTTTTTACACATTTGTTTATATGAAAAAAGGAGATGTGGGGTATACGAAAGAAAAAAAACAGCAACCCAACGAAAAAATTAACCAAAATAAAAGATATCTAAAGGGCAAAATAAAGTCTTCAAAAATAAACAGGTGTTTACACAATATGTAAAGCTCTAACCTTCCAGGCGTTATTAAAGTTGGGAATGAATTTAACAGAAATAATCAAAGATCTGCACTTAAAACTCAATTCTCCAAAGAACAAAATACATTAAGAAATGACAACTTATTTTCGTGGATACTTTATTTCGCGTTATATTCGGCTGTATACGCGTTCTTGATGAAGGTAAATCCAAAAAGCACTTTTGACGCATGAAATTAATAATGTGTTGTTTTAATTTTTTTGCCATTCTAGCCCATTTTGTAGCCATTTAATTTTGGGATTTTCAAATTAACTTTTAGTTAAATAAGGAAAGATCCAAGTTTTACATATTTGTGATGATTTATATTTGCGATATTTTATATCTACTTGCAAAAGTCCCAAAAAATAAATCGCTTATGAAAATTAGTTGGTTCACAGTATACAAATGTATAAATAGGACAGTCAGAACTTTTTCAGGGACCAAATTTGTCTAACAAGTTCTAGCAAACTATGTACACAATGCATGTTAATAGTAAACATTTGTTTGTAATTTTATTTTTGATAAAAAGACAGATACAGACATCAAGATTGATTACATGTGCATGACGTGAACAGTTTCACTTTTTTTTTTAAAGTAAACTAAGTAAACTTAAAGCCTTTCATAGATTCTGAATGAAGGGTGTGACAGTCAGTTAGAGATGTTAAATACACAATAGTATCATCTACAAAGAGTCAAACTTGACTTTTAAGGTTGTCTGGCAAGTCATTTATATATTATATAAGAAAAGGACATGGGCAAATGACAGAGCCTTTAGGGGACACCAGACAATACAGGGCAATTGATTAAAGTGTGACCTGCATCAACTACCACTTTTTGAGATCTGTAAGATAACCATGTCTACTATTTGTATTGATATGGAAATAGTCTAATGTTTAATCATTATTGTTTATTCCAATATCAATAGATACATTGTAATACTGAAACAATAAAAGAGAATTTGGGACTTTAATTACCTTTCTCTAATGGATAAGTGTGCCCCAGCTTCAACCAGTATCTTGAGGGTAGAAATAGCGAAGTTATTGAGTGCTGTTTGGAATGCACATGTATGTAGAGGTGTGAATCCTTGTGCATCGACTACATTCAGCTCCGCCCCAGATTGAACTAATAAATCCATCAGTTGGTCTCTTTTCTCTTCTTTAAATAAAAATAAACATTAAAATAAACATGATAAATGTCATCCCTGCATATTCAAACATTTAATCCTGACACAAGATATGAATCAAATGATCTTACTAGAGAAAAATCTTTCTTCAAATATATGTTTTGAACATTATTTGTCGATATACATTTAACAAATATATACATATGTCAATTCTATATTATATGAATCTATATAGCATTTTAAAGAATATTACTTCTTTAAATATTGAAAAAGGGATAAAATGTCCAACAATATTAACATTTAAATATAACATAACAAAATAAGCCTGTATTTAAAGTAGATACATGTATAAACAAGCACATTACAATAAATTAACTCAAATAAACCTACATTAGACTGTAAATGGTTCATATTCAATTTAAATTACTTACTTTGCACTTTCTGACATTTATGTAGAACTGTTTCCCTTGTGCGATTGACAGCCCTAAGGTTTGCACCAGCAGAAATAAGCTTTCTAGCCACATCAATATTCCCCGATGAAGATGCCAATAGCAATGGTGTCTCGTGGCCTGGTTCCCTTACATTAACATTAGCACCATGTTTAATAAGAATTTCAACGATAGCAGCTGATCCTACAGTAACTGCTGACACTAACGGTGTGTGGTTTGATAAATCAGCACTGTTCACATCAGCTCCTTTGTCAATTAACAACTGAACACATTCTGGTGACTTTGAAAAAACAGCATATTGCAAGATACTTCTTCTACTAGAATCTTTAATTTTTAAAGAAGCTCCATGGTTTAATAAAATTTGGAGTATTTCTAAATTACCTCTGTCTGCAGCATAATGTAAAGGTGAACGACCATCTAAATTAGCCAAATCTAAACACGCCCCCTTCTCACAAAGTATGTTGACAATATCTACATAACCATTCTTAGCAGCTAAATGTAAAGATGTCAAACAGTCGCACTGACGCTTGGTCTGAATGTTTAAAGAACCTACACGATCAGCAAGCACCTCTAAAGCCTGTGGCTGATTGCACAAAGCTGCAATATGAAGTGGTGTGTATCCTTCTTTTAATGTTTTAGCACTAGACACATTGGCACCATGACTTATCAAAAAATTTAACATGTCAGTGTCACCACTTTGTGTTGCTATATGGATTGCTTGGTACCCTTTGTTGTCCGAATAATTCAAAGGAGCCCCATGCTTCATTAGGATCTTAACCATATCCAGACTACCAACTTCCACTGCATAATGAAGGGCTCTTCTTCCTTCCTCATCTGAATACCTTAAATTTAGTAAATCTACATCTTCAACAAAATATTCAAATATTTTTTGCTGCTTTGTTTTAATAGTTTCAAAGAAGGCTTCACAAATACCTGAACTACTCAAAGATGTTTTCTGAGTAATATATCTTTTTGTCTCGGAAAAATTTCCATCCTTAATTACCTTCTTGAGTAATCTTAATTCAAGGCTTTCATTTGTTTCCATGTCATCAGAGATTTATTTATTCTGAAAGGACAAATGTAAGTATCAATATATAATAAATGGTGTGTCATATTACTTTTTCACATACACAATGATATAAGATATATAACAAATGAGTCATTTGCATTTTTATGTTCAAATGACATTCATTAAATAGCTGACATTTTTTTCTTCAAAATCTAATATTAATATGATTTTATACATATCAAAACTTCTTTCATTTATAATGACATGGGAGAAGTGAGGAACAAGGACAGTTTTGCTCTTAATGTGAAGCTCTCATCATAAGCAAGTACTATCACTAGTACAGCTATTGAATCATCTATATTTCTGTTAGTAGACCAGTAAAACAAGAGTACTTAAATATAGGAGCTTTATAATATTAGTTACAATAACAGTTATTGGATAATAGGCAAAACAGTTAAAACATATTAACAAAATAGCAATTATTTTAATGGATTTGATTTTTGATTTTTTGGTGTTTTAACGCCACTTTTTAGCACCGCTTTTGGGCTATTTCGTGTCGGCCAGTTTTTATTGGTGGAGGAAGCCAGAGTGCCCGGAGAAAACCACCGACCTTCGATAGGAAAACTGACAATCCTAGTCAATTAAGATTGGAGTCGAGTGCACCTGCACCAGCTGGGTTCGAACTCACAACCTCAGTGTTGACTGGCTAGTTATTACAGTAGTAACTACTTAGACCACTCGGCCACCTAGGCCCCCTGTTTTAATGGAAGTTAATTAAATAGTTGATTATTTTATGTTTACTGTTTCTACCTATCTATTTTCATTGAAGGCAGAAGGGCAATAATATTGTAATTAGCTTCAGTCATATACATTGAACAATTTTGTAATTTTATATTGCTGATTTTAATACAGGTTGGGAAAGATCCTCATATTAATGGGTCTTGTCCCCATTTATATGTATTATACCCAAAATCTGGTATCTACAAATTTATTTATGGTGATAACAAATTTCAATACTGGATTTTAGGATATTTGCTGTGATGGTGCATATGATTATGTAAAAACGTTGCCCAATGACTGAAATATGATGATCCCAATAAAAGCTAATTACTAAGTCATTAACTTTTTTCTCATATGAACTATGGTCTTAAAAGGGAAAATGTTACCATTTACATGAATGTGTGGGCCATGACAGCTGTTATACATGTAATGAAATACAAAATTTTAATTTTCAGCACTGTAAAGGTGAAACGGTAGTATCTACTTTCCGGGAACTTGGTTGCTCTTTCGTGTACCCTACTTAGGACAATATACATGTATCTGAACACTGTGATTGAACAAAAAATACAGCATCAACTGAACATATTTTTCCAAGTTGTGGAATGAATCAGGTGTAGAAAATATAAAACATTTGTTTCTCGGTCTTCCTTTCATAAAAATGATGCAGAGGCTATTTTACAAACTTGTTACAGGTCATGTCTACAATCAGTGTCGAAATGAGACATGGATGTAAATTGTAAAGCACAGAAAGGGATACTTAAACACTCCTGGAAACGTTCTATGTTTAGACTTGACCATCCAGCAGTATTGGATTTCAGAAGACTTGAAAGTCTTCTTCCACTAAAAAGGCCAAGTATTAATTTGACAGGAGCAAGATAACATAGTCATGATAGTCACAGGGTAGGATAATATGTTATTTTACCCCCACTCATCAAATCAAAGCAATTTTATTATGATGTCATGTATTTGATCTATCTATGACATTACAATGTATATATGTGTGAACCGATTGCTTCCCTTAGTACATGTAGTAGATACTTAGCCAGCCGTAAGGGGTTAAGCAGTCAACGTATATTTGTTCCGTCTAACAGAAGTTCCACTGGAAACTTTGTTATAAACAATATCATAATATCTGTTCCTGTTGGAACAAATATTCTATACCATTTATTCCATTAGGAACATTTACTGTAATATTTATTCCAGTGGAAATAATATCCCAGAATATTGTTTCCATTTGGAACTTATATTATGAAGGAACTTCTATTCCGTGACACCTTGTAACACAGACATGACAGAGGTCCCGTGTTCAAGTCCTGGAGGAAACCATGTGATTTTGTAAGAAGAATCATGCTCTCCGGTTACATTTGGCGCCTAACTAAAAAACCCACAGTGGTTAGAGAGGATTTCTAGCCAGGGTATGTGTTGTTTGAGTCATAATGGTATGATGACTCTTGAAGTAGGGAAAGTGTGACGGAATTGCTTCCCTTAGTACATGTAGTAGATACTTAACCAGCCGTAAGCGGTTGAGCTAGGGAAGTTCTTCTTTAGCTCAATCCGTTAAAGCGCTGCCTTGTAAACACGGAGGTCCCGTGTTCGAGTCCTGGAGGAAACCATGTGATTTTGTAAGAAGAATCATGCTCTCCGGTTACAGATGTATTTGATCTATCTATGACATTACCATGTATATCTGAATTTTCTACCTCTTTTCATTTCACTGACGTGCACAAATAGGTAATAAATATTACTTACCTCCATATCTGCCCTGTTATAATGATAAATTATTTATCTCTGTGTTTAAGAGTTATGTTAAATATAGGTATGGTTTGGAGACTCAGTAAGGTTTTGAGTAAAGGATAGTTTAGTATAGCTCTATATGGGTTGGTATACCAAAGTAAAAGAAGTCAAAACTCTAACCGGGCAGATATGGTTAAAGACGTATATAGATATTATAATTACGGTTCATCATAACTTTTGGCAAAATTGGCGGTATAATTTACACCTCAAAACATACATATTTGCCAGTCTGTTTGTTTTTGCATGAGTTATTTGCCATTTTAATGTAAGCAAATAATTATAATTCGTACGTTTGTTTATATTCACAACAACTTGGTCATTGTCACTGCTTGTGACTTTGTACTGTCTTTCCCGGAGGGTATCTCGATGCCTGTCATCAGCTGGTCCATTGTTTACATTTATCACCGGCAATAGTTATCTTACATACGTTACCGTTGTATTATCCTCCGTTCTATTCAGAACAACCTCCATAATTATTAGTCGGGGATAACCCTATAGTAATACGTCGGTCGAAGCAGTGATCGACAATGACCAAGTTGTTGTGAATATAAACGAATTAATTATCAGCGTTATTTGCTTACATCCTGTCATGTAAGTCAAGATTGCGTCAACCGATTGTCGATTTTTTTCTCGTTTTTTTGGTGAATTTTGGACAGTCACTGTACACTTAATAGTATGTGATAAAAAAAATGGAAATTTTAAGAAATATCTTGTGTTAGAATTTCAGTAAAAATTGACATGAAAGTTATCATATGCTATTCAAAATTAATTCCCAATGACAAAAATTGATTTTTTTGTGACAATTTTTCTCCGGGTGTCATTTTTTTTTCAAAAGTTATTTTCTGTTAAAAAATCCCAAATTTGAGAAACATCTTTTTGTGCCAGGATTTCAACAAAATTCTTCACATAGGTATAGGCCCCCATATGCTCTAAATGTTTTTTCGAAGTCAACTATGGATATGATAAAAAGTTAGTTTTGTGAAAGTATATAAAACAAATTCAGAAATGTTTTAAAATTAAACGATTTTAACAAAAAATTTATTTAAGGTGTAGTAAGTTATTTCAAAGTGAATGAAGTGGACATTTTTTGTTGTTAAAAATTACACTGTGAAATTTGGGTAACATCTTTTCGTGGTAGGTTTTCACCAAAAATTGATATATGTATAGGGATAATATGCGATTCCATATTGTTTCTTGATGTTATTGTAACGTGTAACGGGCGATCAATGGATCCGTATCTGAATAAATCAGGATTTCAAGTGTTCAACTCAATTTTTTCACCACAACCAGTTGTCCTATTCAAAACAATCAACACATCCATAAATGGATTTACAACGAAAAATATATACACAGCACAATGCACATAAATCAAAATGCAAGGTGAAGTACCTCATTCACAATGCATAAACACACTGTATCATAACAGAATGCAATCACTATGTAACATGTATCAGACCGATTTATCCAAAATGTCACTAACAGATTACTATGCAACATGCATACGGCCCTTTGTTACACAATGTCACCAACAGATTACTTTGCAACATGCATCAAGTAAGTATCACACAAAACGTATGAACACAAAATCACATATATACAATTTCTATTTACAACGTCCACCCATATGTAGTATCACCTTGTTAGTCTGCAACTAACCACAATAACACAATGACACAATTACACATGCACAAATCCTACAATGCACAAGGAATATATATATAAACACAGCTGAACTCACGCACTAACTATCCCTTTGAGTTCCCACACAATGAATATTATTCAAACTGGTAAGGTTTAACACGGTGCATTTTCACTAATACACTTCCACAATATTACAACACCAGCAAGTATACACCTTGTATTCTCACTAATACAAATCTATGAAGTATCCACACTTCCACATAGTACAACTTGCAACACCAGCAAGTATACAAATAACTTATTATATAAGTTTCACTTTATATCACAATCACTATTGCAATATCCACATATAAATCCGAACACTATTCATATATATCCTTTGGAATCACTTAATTCACTCTACTTAACAGTTGGAAAATAATCCCTGATGTTATCACTTCAACGGTCCACATAAAACTGACAAAGTTTCAACAACAAATGGAAGTTTTTAACGACCTTGACTGGCTGTACAACAACAAATGGAAGTTTTTAACGACCTTGACTGGCTATACAGCCCTTGCACGGTCGGCTCGGTGCCCGAAGGCGTTTGGTGAGCGTTTAAATAATTTTGTGCCATCGGTCAGGAACAGGTGGTGGACGCCATTTTGGTAGGCCGCCATCTTGGTTTTGTGAGTTGTTTTGGTTTTTCTTTTGTTGACTATTTTGATGTTATGTCTTCACAACGGCTGCTTTCAGGGCCAGATTGGTCAGCTTGGCAGCCCGCTAACCTCGATGATGGAGTACTGGTAGATGAGTCTCGGACGTAGTATAAACGATGACAGGAAGCCTTATCAGGACCAAAGTCGTGAGACAGTGAAATGGTGGTCCTTCATCTAACACCTAGGATGACTCCTTGAATACATCTGACATGCTGAGAAATCATCTATCAAAGTGGTCATTTTTCATACCCAAACGCTACCATAGTGCCGGCACTATTTCCATTGGACATATATACATCAAGACAAAGCCTTTTCCCGCTTTGCCACTTCACAATACCAAACAACTTTGGTTAGATTCTGACCATATATATCTTCAACTATATATATATCTTCTGACCACAACGTCAGGCACCATTACATCTGACAATAATGTCAGGCTACCCTTTTGTCCATCAGGTCTAAACTGATGACATCACAAGGCACAACCCGTAGATACAAAGTCTACCTTTATGTCCAAATTCCAGTCAGCCATATCAAACATATTGAACTTTCTTCTTATGCACAAACACTATTCACAGGATTTCTCTTTTTGTCCGAATAAAACTTTTTAAAACTTCCTACTTCAAAATATCCCTGTTTCTAACATTAACCTCTTTCCTATTAACGTCTGTATTTTGAGCGTCACCGCCAAAGAATAAATTTAAAAGGTCCCTAACAAATTTTGCCTCTGCAGCGGCCCCAAGGAGCCTACTCTTAACGAAATCTGCAGGAGGGGTCTTTTACATGCACAGGGCGTGACATGTTCCTGTACATGGGGCCTCGGATTTAACGTCCCCATCCGACGGACTCATACATACACACTTTAAACTCTATGTACACTATATACACATATGATACATCTAATCATCTACTCTTCACAGTGATCATTTTCTCCAAAACGCTTCCTCTTTTCAGGCTCATGACTACTTTCTTCCAAACACTACAGTATCTCTAATTAGTTCAACACCATCTGTAATTCCTGAATCATTTTCATTTTGGAAAGAATTAGAGGCTGAAGGCATAAAACTGTGTCTTAAGCTGTATTCCAATTTTTCAATTTCACTTGTTAAAAATGCAATATCCGAATCAAACAGATTTTCTGCCATTTCAATATCAACTGACTTAATGTTCCTTCTTACTTAAAAAGAAATGATCTATGACAACTAAGACAAAAACTTAAAACATTGAATATTACAACTGGTATAATCATACATGAATTTACAGTAACGAAATAAACACACATGCCAAGAAATCCTCGCTAAAAATTCCGGTCTACCTCCTACGGCACTCATTAGTAGCTAAAGATTTGATTTCATTCAACAAATTAATTTATGACCTTCATGTACGTGTCGCTTAGAACACGGCCATATATCAAATGGTAAATATTAATCATCCATGTAATTTGCTCTATGGGGTGTTTGCAGAATTTCAACGGAGGCAATTTCTTGGCATGGGAGAAAGGAAGAAAGACCATTCACAATTTGTCTTACATTTGTTTTTCTCTTTTTTAATTAAATAAAAAAAATAATAAACCTTTCAAATGTAGAGTTCAAAAGATAAAAATATTCCCTGTGGAACACCTCCCCTCCCCCTTTTTTGTACTCTCTATTTTCAACCCTCGAATCAAGCTTTCCAATCTAAATAAAATTAAAACCTTGCTGTCTAACCAATCTATTCATGTACCGGACCGGCAAATTTCTTTATTTAATACGAAAATCTGCAGTGCCGTTATACACATGCACGTTGTTTGCTTGGAGTCCCCGCCCGAAAAGATAGAAATAGCCTAACTCCAAGATACTATATTCCTGCATCATGTGATTTTTTCCACGTGGAGCTTACATTTGAATAAATACCGAACATGGAAAGTGAAACTACAATTCAAAACATAAAGTCCAAAGGCACAAATAAGAAAAAGAATGTTTTTTTTTTGCAAAGGGTGCCGGGGTAATTCTCTCTGTGTTCAAAATATACCATGATGAAATATTTGCCACTGCCCCTTTTCTGTTCTATGAATTCTAACCCTGAGTTTTCTATCTGTAACATGCCAAGAAATCCTCGCTAAAAATTCCGGTCTACCTCCTACGGCACTCATTAGTAGCTAAAGATTTGATTTCATTCAACAAATTAATTTATGACCTTCATGTACGTGTCGCTTAGAACACGGCCATATACCAAATGGTAAATATTAATCATCCATGTAATTTGCTCTATGGGGTGTTTACAGAATTTCAACGGAGGCAATTTCTTGGCATGGAAATCCCACCGCTTGCCACCAAATTTGTAACGTGTAACGGGCGATCAATGGATCCGTATCTGAATAAATCAGGATTTCAAGTGTTCAACTCAATTTTTTCACCACAACCAGTTGTCCTATTTAAAACAATCAACACATCCATAAATGGATTTACAACGAAAAATATATACACAGCACAATGCACATAAATCAAAATGCAAGGTGAAGTACCTCATTCACAATGCATAAACACACTGTATCATAACAGAATGCAATCACTATGCAACATGTATCAGACCGATTTATCCACAATGTCACTAACAGATTACTATGCAACATGCATACGGCCCTTTGTTACACAATGTCACCAACAGATTACTTTGCAACATGCATCAAGTAAGTATCACACAAAACGTATGAACACAAAATCACATATATACAATTTCTATTTACAACGTCCACCCATATGTAGTATCACCTTGTTAGTCTGCAACTAACCACAATAACACAATGACACAATTACACATGCACAAATCCTTCAATGCACAAGGAATATATACATAAACACAGCTGAACTCACGCACTAACTATCCCTTTGAGTTCCCACACAATGAATATTATTCAAACTGGTAAGGTTTAACACGGTGTATTTTCACTAATACACTTCCACAATATTACAACACCAGCAAGTATACACCTTGTATTCTCACTAATACAAATCTATGAAGTATCCACACTTCCACATAGTACAACTTGCAACACCAGCAAGTATACAAATAACTTATT